TTGGGTTTGCTGGGAGGGCTGTGGGTTGGGGCTTGAGAACATGAACCAGCTACCTCCTCCACACCATCTGAGAGAAAAGGAGCACAGGCAGGACCTTCAGCCAGATCCTCAAGATAACCTGTCCCCCACCCACCAGACATAGCACTGCTCCCTCCTCCCTTGCCAAAGAACAGGTACACTAGCTGACGGGATGAGAGTCAGCAAGCTCTGGGTCATGGGCCCATTATAAGACAGAAGGATAAGATGGAAAAAGGAAGGGAAGCAGGAAAAAAAAAAAAAAAAAACAAAACCTCTTAAGAAAACCAGAAAGGGAATATTTATTCTAGAGAAGGCTCAGGGGTTGTGGTAATGTCCACCCTTTACAGGTGCCTTTCTTTAGGGAGGACCGCTCTCCATGTTTCAAGGAGGGCTACAGGCACCTCCCAAAGGAGCCCCTGAACCACTGCCCAAGTGCATCCATACAAGAAGACACGCTCTGCTTGTGCCTTTCAGCTCAAGCTATGATGGGGTGGCTATGAGGTGAAGGGGAGGCACCCAGATCCCTGGTACCTGTGTGAGTGCCCTCGGAGGCTGCTGTGGCCCTGCCTGCATCTAGCGCCAGGGGGGACTTGCTGCTGGCTGGTTTGGACTCCTCAGGCAGCTGTGGCTCTTGAGACTTGTGGGTCTGAATCAGCTCTGGCTGTGTTACCCTGATCAGCTAAAAACAGAATCCAAGGCTCAGAGGAATGAAAGCAGACCCCAGCTGCTCCGGGGAAGCAAAGGGCCTTGGCACTATCCATTCCCTCACAATGAAAGATAATAGCCGAACCCAAACCTTCTTTAAGAAGCTATTCCCACTCCCACCCCGAGTCCCAGCTTTTCCACAAGGAAAGCAGAGGAAAGGAATGGTCAGTTGAAGTTCAACAGGTCCACAATAAAGAGTGATCTGAGAATCAGAGACATGCGCCCCAGTGGGGGGAAGAGGGATGGCAGGAGGGGCCCCCACCTGCTGCAGGGCCTCCAGGACTGTCTGACGGTTCACCTTCAGCACGTGCAGCCTGGCCTCATACTTGATCCTGCGGTCGGGCACCACCGCCATCAGGTTGAAGCGGATGTCATGGTATGGCTCCCTGCAGTCACAGCCGCAGCCGTGAGAGCAGCTCCCACCACAGCCCCACCATCAGGTTGAAGTGAACAAATTGGCAGGGCTCCCGAAAGTCACATCTATAGCCATAGGTATAAGCTCCACCCCAAAAGGCAGGCAGCAGCTAGCAGTGCATGCTAGGCAGCTGAGCTGGTACCTTCTGATGAGCTGAGTGAGGGGCCTTCAGCAAGTAAGCCAGCAAGCCTGGGCCACCTAGGGTTCCACCAAGGCCCCTCCCCAGTCTGTCCCAAAGCAGGCCATAGGCAAGCCTAGGTGAGACATAGGGCAAGGAGTTGGGAGGCCCAAGATCTAAGCTGATCTGGCCTTGCACGAATAATGTGGCCTCCATGCTTTCCCTCTTCTGTGTCCCTCCCGATAGGGGCACAGCTCCAGAGAGCAGGGCAAGCCTAGAGCCCTTACCCTGCAGTGGCCAAGCCGATACGTTCCATGATGACCCGCCGAGCCTTGTCTGTCCACTCCTCATCCTCCCCCCAGGGCCCTAGGGAAGACCAAGATGAGGAGTCAGCAGGTGGGAAGCCCTGAGTTTGGGTAGGCCGGGAATGGGAAGGAAGATGGAGAGCAGTTGAGTCAGGGAGTCTGGGGTGGTAAGATAGTGTGTGCAGGGTGCCTTCCAGCCAGAGACAGATGTCAACTCCCACCCCCTGCCACTGGGTCCCAAACACCTCAGGACCCTGAGCCCTAGCTCCCCAGAAGGTAAGCAGAAAAACCCAAAAGGTCCCTACCATGGTCAATGGGGTAGACCTTCAGCCCATCCAGCTCAAAAAGCCGGCCCGTGATAGGCACATAGCTGACAAAGTGGAACGCCTCCATCGTCCGCACAGCACTAAGGCCATTCTGCTTCTCGGGGAGGTGGCGTGGCTCCGGCCTAGGGAAGGACATACTCAGGGCCCAGAACAGGACAACCCTTCCTACCCCAACTCCCATCAGTTCCCACAGCTCCCACACACCTGGCATGGCTATTATGTGCCTTGGCCAACTCTGGGGCATTGCCAATTGCATATCCTTTGCTCTAGAGAGAAAGAAATAAGACATCAAAACAACTTCTCAGCTGGACCTCAGGGTGGGAAGCAAAGCTCTGGAGAATAGGCCTGGAGGCATTCCAGGAACCTGAAGAAGCACAGATGGATTCTCCTGAGAGGTCAGTGGGGACAGAAGAGAACTCCTGAGCCCCAGAAGGATGGAGTTATTCTTGCACATTATGAGTGGACACTGGAGAGCAACATGGCCAGACACAGACCTGACAAAGTCCTAACAGAGTGTCACTTAAGGAATGTTCCTTTCCTCCTTAGGTCTTTCCTGACAATTGGGACTAAAATTTAAGGGTCAAACATCATGTAAATAATTTGAAAAGGAAATGGCCTCATGGTGTCAAATGCCATGTGGTAGCCTTACAAGTGGGCTTGGGAGTCAGATGTGCCTGGCAAGCTGAGAGCCAGGAGTGAGGTACCACGGCCTACCTCTGGGCTGAAGCCTTTGGTGAAGTCCTTCATGCGACTCAGGGTGGGCCCCAGGTCCACACTGCTGCAGTTCAGGAGCACACTCAGCAGGGCATGAGTGGCACAAGAGTTGGGGATCAGCTGTGAAACCCAAGAACAGTCACTCACATGCAGCATGCCTCACCCCAAGCCACACTCATTGAGAATGGGGACCCAGAGAGGGACAGTCCTAGCTGGACAACAAAACTCATCAGCTTCCCTCACCTCCCCCCACATTTGTTCATTCAACTAAATACCCAAGTGTCTGAGGACTCAACACCACCCTGCTCTGAAGATACTCCCTTTTCTTTAATGAATAAGCGCTCAGTTCCTTCTGCCAGAGGACTTCTCTAATCACCACTCCTGCTATCTGCCTGTCTCCTCCTCCTCCTGCCTTCCCCAACTTCCACTTCCCAGCAAAGACAATGGCAGTATCCCGCCCTCCAAACAGAACACAGAGCCCAGCAGACCTGATGGGCAAAGAACATGTTATTCACAATATCATCATCAATCACGGACGTATCATCCACCAAGGTAGAGACCTTGCGACGGGATCGGCGCTCTTCGATCCATTTGAACAGGAAGATGAATCCATACACTGGGCTGGGGAAAGTAAGGGGTAAAGCTAAACCAGCCAAGTGGGGGAAGGCAATCAGCCTCCCCTTTCTTTTCCTGCCTATTCCCATGTATTGTGTTGCCACTCAGGTATCCTTCCCGGATCCCACCTCTACCCTGGCCTCTTTCCAGCAATGCTCAAAGTGGCCCTGAGCCCTCACACCCAGAAGCCTGCTGCAGGGAGTCAAGCTCAGCTTCTGGCTGTGATGCTCCAGAATACCCTGTGTCCTCATGAAGTGTATGGTTCTGGGATAAGAGATGAAAAGCTGGAACCCATGGCCCACGACAGGGTAGGAACAGACTGGTAAGGCAAGGAAAAAACTCTGATCGAGGAATTTAAACACTAATTCTCACTGTGAACTCCAAGGCCTAGGCCCCAGGGCAGTGAAAGAAGCAAACGAACACCTATTGTCAGTCCCTTCTTTCCTGGGAGATAAACAGACCTCTCAGTTCATGCACTGTAGTCCCTCCACACCTCTATTCTGCAGAACCACCAAGACAAGGCCCTGAGGTTGGTCACCCAAGAGGGGCCTTGCCAGATGCCACACACCAACCAATCAATACAAGACCTTTATGAAGGGATTAAAGCCACCGGCACTCGGGTACATGAAAATAGAAATTAGTCAACTACAGTAGGCACTGTGTGACCTGGGTTCAAGAGAAGGGGCTGCCTTCCTGCTGGGCAACCAGAAAGGGCAGCTGAACTATATACTCCAAAGGACGGTTAGGTATGTACTGGGGGAAGGGGACTACTACACAAAGGGAGGTGCTGAAGGAAGACTGGGAGAAAACGAAAACATCAGCTTGGTCAGGAGGGCACCCAAAGACAGGTGCTTCCATGCATGAGATTGATTCCTACACTACCTCCCTCGAGGGGCACTCCTCCCCTGGCCCTTCCCTTGCTCTCAGGGTGTAAGGGAAGGCCCTGGCACCAAGCCACTCACCCCTGACATTTGCTCTGAAGGTCATAGATCTCCTCCACCTGCACCCCTTTGACACCTGCGATCAGGGAAGGAAAGAAGTCGGGAAGGGCAGCCCCTGGGTGTGGAGCGAGGGCACGGGAGTGGGCCCCGATAGCCCGGATCCGGCGGGTAGGAGCGGCTCTTACCGAAATCTTCCACCAGGAGGGTGAAGAGGCCTGGGTGGGGCGACAAGAGGGGCAGGCGGTGGTCAGGCGGGCGCGTTTCGGGCGCACCAGGCCTCCCCAGCCCCCGGCCCGCCCAGCGCCCTCCTCACCAGGGTCGCTCTCCAGCTCCAGCCAGCCCTTATTCATCTTCCCGCGGGGCGGCCCCTCAGCGCCATGTCCAGGCCCTCCCGACCCACCGCCGCCCGCGCCGGGAGCCCCCGCCGCCCCGGGGCCCCTAGCCCCACACACAGACAACGGGCCCAGTTGGCGTCACCCGCCCGCGCCGGCGACACTACGTCACCACGGCGCGACGTTCTCCGCCCCGCCTCTGGGCTTGTCTTCCGCTGGATCGATTCTCCAGGGTCCGGCACCCGCGCGGGGGGGCGGGGCGAGGGGAAGGGGAAGGGGCGGGGCGAAGGCGGGGCGGGGCGAAGGCGGGGCGGGGCGCTGGCCGCGCGAGCAGACGAGGCGGGGCGGGGGCGCAGGGCGAAGGCGGGGCGGGGCGGGGCGCTGCCCGCGCGAGAAGAAAAGGCGGGGCGAGGCGGGGCGGGCGGGCGGGGCCAGGGCGGGGCCAGGGCGGGGCCGTGCGCGGGCCGTGGGAGAGGAAGGGGTGGGGCGGGGAGGGCGCGCGGCCGTTAGCGGTCCAGCTCCACCAACGGTCGGCGACGCTGCGGTCCCCGCGGCCGCAGGCTCCCTGGGTCGCAGTCCGCGTGACCCGGCCCCCGTTTGCGCGCTCTCCCCCTTCGCCGGCGCAGTCACCGCGCGGGGCGGCCGCCCGTGAGGTAGCTACCACGGCTTGTGACAACGACTAAAGCTCCGGACAGCAGCGCCCTCGGCGACAGCGGGGCGGGCGGCCCCGGCCGGGAGCGGCGGCCCGTGCGCGACCGTGAGGAGCGAGCGGCGGACGCGATCCCCGGCCCGGCCCCGCACCCGCCGCCCGGCAGGCGCGACATGAGCCTGGTCTGGCGTCCGCGGGAGGCTCCTTGAGCCCCTTCTCCGGCTGTTACCTCCGGGGACGGTTGTGGCCACACCGACACGTATTTTCCAAATAAATCATTGTTTTATTCTTGCGGCGGCGGGGCCGAACACGCCACTTTATTTTTGATTTCTTTCAACAAGCCTTTACCCAGCACTCATCCAGTGAAACAGCTTGGTGACGTCTGAAGGGAGCGTCCGCTCGCAGGGAATCTCTGGACTGAGCAGCTCGTGGAAGCCGGCGCTGGCAGCGTCCCCCCTCAGATGCTCTGAAGACTCTGCGTCTTCCCGTCAACCACCGGCGTGCACAGAACCCCACTCCGGGAACGTCTTGATCCAGCGATGCCAAGGACTGACGTTTCAAGGTTTTCTTTCCGTCGCTGGAGGGCCGGGACTCCGCCCCGCCCCTCCCCCCGCCCCGCCCCCCCTCCCCCCCCCCGCCCCGCCCTCGCCTCCCCCCGCCAAAAAGACAAAAACAAAAACAAAAAACCACCCGGAGCCGCTCAGCAGTCCCGAAAGTGGATCCCCTAGCTCACGCCCTCCTGTCTCCTCTTCCAGCCCGGCCAAGTGCTTTCGCTGACTTGGTTTTCCGCAGCCTTTGGTTTTCCGAGCAGCCAGTTAGTGGCCTTAGCCGTTGTGTCCCAGGAGAAAGAACAACGGACCGACATCCTGGCAGATGTTCCCGCTCCCCAGCCGGGCTCTGAGGACAAGGAGCGCCGGAGTCTCTCTCCCCGGAGAGACCTGATTCTCTCAGCTCTCCTCTGAAGAAATGCAATCCTCCTTCCCCTCTCCCCTGACTGGACACAGTCCTTCATGGCAGTGAATTCTAGGTCTTTTTCAACCGTCCCTTCCCTTTCAGGGATTTCCCTCTTAACTAATGGAACGAAATCTGTGGCCTGCTGACGGTGCTGGGGGGAGAGACGGCAGGGAGTCGTCTCCACCTTGGGACGCTTTACCCGTGGCTCAGATCTAGACCAAGGTCGGGAACAGACGGAACCTCAGAGGCCGGCTGAGCCCGGTGACGGGAACCAAGCAAGGGCTGATTTGTCAGTGCTCTCTCCTGTCTCCCACTGGAGGGAGCCCTTGCTTCGGGCAGCCGAAATCCCAAGGGCTCCTTTCCCCGGAAAGAGCTACTTTCTCCAAGCCTTTACTGGGTAGAACTAAGGCGCCTACACTCTGGAGGCAAAATGAGCCTCTATCCTGAGTGCTGGCTACCTCATGCATTTAGGGGGCACGAAAAAAGCAAAGACCCATTTTAGTCAGGTCAGGCGGTGGTTCCAATTCTTACTCTGCTGAGTAATAGCAGTAACTCTGATCTTGGGCAAGTGCCTCTCTGTGACCTCTCTGGGTCTTAGTCTCCTCATCTTGAAAACGGGGATAGTGATGGTACCTCCTGCACAGGGGTTTTGTGAGTTAACACAGGTAAAACGCCCAGAACGGTTTTGATGCGATTTAACATTAATTGGCTACTACTGGTGTTGATACTGGGTGAGTCCTTTCTTCTGTCACATGGGTTGGCAGTTAAAGTACAGTTACTTTGACCCTGTGGTACCAAATGGAGAATTAAATTGCTGACCAAGCCCTGTTTATATTTACAGCTGGAAGAGCCTGTATTGTCCTCATAATAGTATAGAAGAATTCAAGTTAGGAGAGAGAGGCAGCAGCGAATGAAGACTGTAAAAGAAAAGAAGAAAGAACGTCAAAGATTGAGGTAGAGTAGGTGTGACATAAGGGAGTTTGGGAGAAACGGTCCAAAGACCCATGGTATATGCTGCACTTTTTGTTCCCTTTGTGATCTTGAGGGCTGGGGTTGGGTAGTGTGGAAGCACACACCAGTGGTCCCCTGGAAGCTGCCCAGGGCTGTCCCCAGTAGCAAAGTGCTGGCTCTGGAGCCTTACAGCCTAGATTCATATCCGGGCTCTAATACTTGCTGACACTAGGTGACCTGGGACAGGTTACTTCTTTTCCTTATGCCTCGGTTCCCTCACTTGGAAAATGTGCATTAAAATGGCACCCACTTTTTAGAGCCTTCTGTAGATACACTGACCTAATACATGTAAAAAGCCAAGAGTAGTGCCTCACAATAGGAAATTCGCACGTTTTAGTATTTCGTCATGCTCTGTGAACATGGTACCGCCAGAGATTCAGAGTAGGTGGCAAAAGAGACAGTAAAAGAGTATAAAAGAGGATTTGCTCTTAATATTCATCCAGTCTACCAAGGCAGCACAGCTAATAGGAACAGAAAGATAATTACAATCTCACATAATTCACATAACTTTGTGGGTCTCTTTTGTGCTTGCAAAAAATAACACACACAAAAAAAGAAACTGATGTCTTAGCCTTTTGATATTTTGAGGGAAATGTTACAAGGTGCGTTGATAGGATCCTCAAAGACTACCTTGTACTTCTTCCTTCTCTTGTATAGAAAATCTGCCAAGACAAGGAGGGTAACCCAAAAGAAGCCATCTTCAGGGCCTGGTAAGAAAGACTGGAGGTTCTATTCAACCGCTGCCTCCTGAGCTCAGCAAAGGCCACCTCTGTAGGGCATTAAGCTTGCTTCTCTAACTATCCATCCTATTTAACTTCCTAGAATTCTCTAAGACCCTGAAGAACTCAGCATCCTTGATTTTTAAATGGTTCATCCAGAGTTCAAGAAACAAGTTAAAGCCCCTTGAGATAAAAGTATATAAAGTGAGCAGCTGCAGCCAACTTCCTCAAATGTGACCAAAATGATACAAAGGCCTAACTGATAACCATGCAACACTTCATCCCAACCTCATCCTTGTCAAAATGTCCTCTTCCCAATACTCAATCCTCCTTGTACTCCCAAAATGAATTCTTTACATCCTTTCTTCCAGTTTGCCGGCTATGCCTTCGAGAACCTGGGGATCCCGAAAAACTGGGGGAATTTCTTCAGAAAGACAATCTCAGCGTGCATTATTTTTGTCTTGTGAGTATAAGGTCCCCTTTGCTTTGAATGTTTCATGGCTCTTGCTGTACAGCCTGTTCTTTGTTTTTCACCCAGCCTCAGATCCATAGTCCTACTTATTTGTCTTAGTAGCTTTTTTCTTTTTAAAATCTAGTCTTTAAAAAGTAATGTATGTAATAAATAAATAAATAAATAATAATAAGTAAAAAGTAATGTATGTACCTGCTATAAAGTCCTGACAGTATAAAGTTATGTACAATAAGTCGCTTCCCAAAACAATCTCTCCCAATCTTTCTCCCTCTCCCCAGAAGCACATGCTATCAATTGTCCTTAGAGCTATTTTTCCTACTGTGCTTTTTAAAATTAGCTATAATTTGCATACTATAAAATGCATCAATTTTAAGCATACAGTTTTATGAGTTTTTATAAGCTCCTATATCATGGGGATGTAACATACATCCTCATGTAAACACTACCCAAATCAAAGTATTTCCATCACCCCAGAAAGTTTCCACCCATACCCTTCCAGTCAGTTGCCTCAGAGATCATCACTGTTCTGCAGTATAAGATTACTTTCACCTCTTCTTATACTTACTTTTACTCTTCATGTAACAATTGTATTCTTGTGTCTGGCTTCTTTTATTCAATGCAGTGTTTTGGAGATTCATCCATGTTGTTGCATGTATTGGTAGCTTGTGCCTTTTTGTTGCCTAGCAGTATTCTGTTGTATGAATATTTTGTAATTGGCTTACTTATCCATCTGTTGATGGACATTTGAACTGTTTCTATTTGGGGGCTATTATGAATAAAGTTGCTATAATATTCATGTTGAAGCCTCTTTGTGAACATGCATTTTCACTTCCCTTGGGCAAATGCCTAGGAGTGGATTTATTGGTTGTGTGCTAAACTGTATGTTTAACTTTATGTGAAGTTGCCAAACCACTTTCCAAAGTGGTTGTACCGGTTTACACTCCCACTAGCAATTTATGAGGGTTCCAATTGCACAATATTCTTGCCAGAACTTGATATGGTCAATCTTTTAAATTTTAGCCATTCTATGAGGTCTGTACTGGCATCTTACTTATTATGGTTTTAATTTGTATTTCTCTGTTGACCTAAGATGTTGATCTTCTTTTTGTGTAGTGTACTTACTGGCCATTCACATATGTTCTTTTGTGAAGTGTCCGTACAAATATTTTTTCCATTGCAAAAGTAGGGTTATTTTGAATTATTAATTCATAAGAATTTCTTGTATATTCTGGATGCAAATCCTTTTTCAGATATGTGTATTGTTACTATTTTCTCCAAGTCCATGGCATGTCTTTTCATTTTCTTAATGGTATCTTTTGAAGAACAAACGTTTTTGGTTTTGATGAAGTTAGGTTTATCAATTATTTTATCATTAGTGCTTTCTGTGTATGTCCCAAGAAATTTTTGTCTACCCATTGAATTACCTTGGTGCCTTTATTGAAATCAATTGATCATATATCTGTGGATTTGGATGATTTATTTATGTCATTGATCTGTGCATCATCCTTACAACAGTACTGCATTGTCTTGATTATTGTGACTTCATAGTATCTTGAAATTAAGTATTATAAGCTCAATCTTTTTAAAGATTATTTTGGCTCTCAGGTCCTTTTCCACATAAATCTTATATTTAGCTTGTCAATTTTTCTTTTTAAAAATGCCTATTTGGGTTGAGATTGAGATTGCATTGAATTTATAGATCAATTTGGAAAGAATTAACAAGTAATATTGAATCTTCAATCCATGGATGTGATGTATTTCCCCATTTATTTGAGTCTCTTAAAATTTGCCTCAGCAATGTGTTATTTATTTTTTTTACTTGTTTTTTATTCAGCAATTTTTTTAGTGAAGAAATCTTACACATCTTTTATTAAATGAATGCCTAAATATTTTGTGATTTTTATGCTATTGTATATGGTATTTTAAAATTTCAATTCAAGTTTGGATGTTGGTATATATAAATGCAGTTTATTTTGTATGTTGATTTTATATCCTGTAATCTTGTTAAATTCACTTATTAGTTCAATAGTTTTTATTTTTAAACTTTGTGGTAAATGCCTTAGGATTTCCTGGGTACACAATCATGTAGTGTGAATAAAGAGTGTTCTACTTCTTCATTTCCATCTTTCAGTTCTTCTTTTTTCCTTGTTATACTAGCTAGGACTTTCGATCAAGTGTTGAATAAGAATTACATGAGTGAACATCCTTGTGTTACTCCCAACGTTGGAGGACAGCATCCAATTTTTCAACATTAAAATATGATGTTAGCTGTAGGCTTTTCATCTGATTAAAGAAGTTTCCTTGTATTTCTAGTTTGCTGAGGATGTCATGAATGTGTGTTGAATTTTGTCAAATACTTTTTCTGCATCTATTGAGATGATCCTTTTTTCTCCTTTATTTTGTTTATGGGGTTTGTTAGAGCAATTTAATTTTCAGTGTTAAACAAACCTTATGTTTCTGGGATAAGCCCTGCTTGATCATGATCATGATGTATTATCCTTTTTATATGGTGCTAAATTCAATTTGCTAATATTTTGTTTAATTTTACACCTCTACTCGTGAGACAGATTGGTCTGTGATTTTCCTCTTCTGTAAGTTCTGTCTGATTTGGGTGTCAGGTCTTGGTTAATCTCAATGCCTTTACAAGCATACACATTTTCAACATAAAAATAAACATACTATACACAGTGTTTTGTATTTTGCTTGTTTTTACCTCTTGACACTTATGAAGATCTTTCCATATTGATCTAGTTTTTTTCTTTTTAGAGGTTAATTGGTATTCCATGGTATGGGTGTGCCAAAAAGTATTAAAACAAACCACTTTTTTTTTTTAAGATTTCATTTACTTATTCATGAGAGACAGAGAGAGAGAGAGAGAGAGAGAGAGAGGCAGAGACACAGGCAGAGGGAGAAGCAGGCTCTACGCAGGGAGCCTGATGGGAGACTTGATCCCAGGACTCGATTCCAGGACTCGATCCCAGGACCTCAGGATCACGCCCTGGGCCGAAGGCAGGCGCTAAACCACTGAGCCACCCAGGGATCCCCAAAACAAACCACTTTTAAAGGACATTTAGATTATAATCTTTCACTATTGATTTTTCTGTTTATAGAAATGATATGTGCTCATTGTAGAAAACAGTAGTACTACTTAGAAGTATAAAGGAAACAGAAATCACTCATATAGTCCCTAAAGCCCTGAGATGATTAGTGTAAAATAGATATTTTTAAGCCTAGTTGGGAAAACATTGCTATAATCCAAGTGTCTTCAAGTCATCTAGCTGTGTAGGGTCACTTATTCTATATCAAAATAATCCGGGCCCCCATTACACATTACATGTAATCACTGTAGGAAGTCCAGCACCTTCCCCAGTATTTTGGGGAGATTCTTAGGGTGGGGCAGAGGTGCTGACATTCTTCCAAAGTACATACACATACATTACAGTTTATGGGTACATGAACAGTTTATCATCCTTTTCCTTAATTTCCCATTCTAGAATCCGCTTTGGGGGCTTTTCAGAGATAAAAGACCCTGGGTGGCTCAGTCGGTTAAACAGCTGCCTTTGGCTCAGGTCATGGTCCAGGGGTCCTGGGATGGAGTCCTGAATTGGACTTCCTGTTCAGCCAGGAATCTGCTTCCCCCCTCCCTCTCCCCCTCTCCCAGCTCATTTTCTCTCTCTTTCTCAAAAAAAAACAATCTTTTGGGCAGCCCTGGTGGCTCAGCAGTTTGGCACCGCCTTCAGTCCCGGGCATGATCCTGGAGACCAGGGATCAAGTCCCACATCTGGCTCCCTGCATGGAGCCTGCTTCTCCCTCTGCCTGTGTCTCTGCCTCTCAGTCTCTCTCTCTCTCTCTCTCTCTCTCTCTCTCTCTTTCTGTCTCTCATGAGTAAATAAAAGCTTTTAAAAAAATCTTTTAAAAAAATAAGAGAAATCTTTAAAAAATTTTTTAAAGAAAAGTTCAATTCCTTCCCTTTTCCAATAGGGCAGGATGACTATAGTTAAGTGGCTTGTTTTTATTTGGGAAGAGAGAGAGGGAGAGAGCAAGAAAGCACAGGTACACGGTGGGGGAGGGGCTGTGCTGAGCATGGGGCCCAATGTGGGTTGTTCTTGATCTCACAACCCTGAGATCAAGGCCTGAGCCAAAACTGAGAGTCAAACACCTAACCAACTGTGCCACCCAGACAGCCCTAGTCAGGAGATTTTAAAGCCCTGTTTCCCTTCCTGTAGAGAATATACTATGAGAAGAGTATTTGTTTTCTACTAAGGGGTAGTATAGTGAGAGGGGTAAGATTATGGATTCTGTGGGCTTGAATGTGAATGCCAGCTCTGCTGCCTCCATGCTGTGTGACCGCAGCCGTGTCACTTACCATCCTAGGCCTCAGTGGGCTCCTCTGTAAGATGAGGATCCAAATAGCATCTGTATCACAGGGTTGTAGTGGACATAAAATAAGTCAATATACAGGGACTGTTTCCCCAAAGGGCTCAGCACACAAAATCAATCCTCAGTAAATGAGAAGCAGTGTAACACAGAGGCATGTAAGAGCCCAGGTTCTGGAGTCCTTTGACTCTGAGCAAGTCACATAATCCTCCTATAAAATGAAGATATTGATAGTATCTACCTCTCAAGGTTGTTATGAGGATTAAATGAGTCAATATTTGAAAAGCACTCGGAGCACAGTTGATGTTGTATAAGCCTTTGCTAAGTAAATTACCCTGTAAATGTATATATATCCCACCAAGCTCTACTTCCTAGCTCAATACTGTCATCCTCCTCACCCCACTGCACTGTTTCACTGATCATCAATGTTGACAGCCTGGTTCTACTGCTCCCCCAGATACTATCTAGCAAGCTGCCTCAGAGGGGCCAGTCCAACAGAGGTTTCCATGGATTCCTGCCTGAAGACATCAAAAAGGAGGCAGCACGGGCTTCTAGGAAGGTTAGAACCCTAGAATCCTATGGGTGCCTTCGGGTAGGCCTCTTCTCATACCTCCCTGAACACCACCTCTGTTTCTGTTCTTTTCCCTAGCCGCTGGTTCAGAAGTCAAAGGACCCTTGGATTTCCCAACTGGTCCTTCTCTTAAGTTGCATACTTCTCTGGGATGTGGTATCCTAAGTTAGGGGAGGGAGCAACATCCTGGGGAAAAAAAATAACTTAGTGTTGCTTGAAACTCAGCTTTAAGGTGCCCCCAGAGTTTTCAGGTCAACTGAGGAAAGGAAATGCCTATTGCTTCATAGAGTTTTCATTCCATAGAATGATGTGCCACAGAATGTCTGTGTCTTTCTTGGGGCCCTGAGCGCTGCCTGGGATCTCATTTGCAGATCTGCTTTGTGTGCAAGAAAAAGGGAGCTGCCATCAACTGCCAGAAGGATCAATGCGTCAGAAACTTCCATCTTCCTTGTGGCCAAGAAAGGGGTTGCCTTTCGCAATTTTTTGGAGAGTATAAGTGAGTGATGAGGGGGAAAAGTTGGGCTGCCCTTTTGCATGTTGCTCGTAATTAGCCAGTAATGAAATCAGAGTCCGGTTCTCACAGGCCTGTTTTGATTCACTGGCGAATCTGTCCTACCATTCAATAATGAGAAACAATGTCTTGACTTGGCGATTTCACAGGGGTTACTTCTTGCTTTCCACCCCCTTCTTAAATTACAAACAGCTGCTGTTCTTAGACAGCTGCTCAGAGCTAAGTGGGGCTTTCAGGAACAGGAGTCTGTGGAGATAGTCCTGGGAGTTTTCCTCAGTGGAGGAACAGCTGTGAGAAGGCATGTGGCTGTTCCCCTGCTCCTCCTCCTCCCCATGAGTGTAGAAGTTCACTGGGCCTCGGCCTGGGTGGTTGCCCTTCCTAGGCCGGGCAGCTAGAAGACTGCATCAGTGACAAACCAGAAATCAAGTCTGTTTGCTCTTCTTCAGATCATTTTGTGGAAAACACCGCCCAACACAGGACATCCAACGGGGGAAGGCAGGGGAGGAAAGCTGTGTCTTGTGTTGTGAAGACTTATCCCAAGCAAGTGTTGAAAACATCCAGAGTCCATGTTGTAGTCAAACTATCTACCACCGCAAGTGCATACAGGTGGGGCTTTCTCTGCCCTGGGGACCTTCCACATTTTCCCTAGATCACTCTGGGAATGCTCAGGCCGTCTTGGCTTCTGTGTTCCATCCTGGAAGCCTGTATGTAGGGCTGTTTCCAAGCAGTCAGAGGAAATTCAGCCCAGTCTCTGGTCACCCTTCTTGACCTGTAAGACCTCATCCATGATAATGTTCAGATTGAGCAAAATCCTCAGGATGGCTAGAGCAAGCAAGTTTGAATGAGTCAAGCAACCTCAAAATCAGCCTTGCTTTCTGGGATAGAAGGAAAGGCAACCTTTCAGCACTATAAGCCCCACAACCAGAGATGATATCTGAGGTACTCCTGGGTACTCTCTTGAATTGAGCTTTGTCTCTGGTCTAATGCCTGGATTGCACCCCTCCCATTAGCCCACCCATAGCCCTTTTATGGAAATCCCCAATCAAGCTCTCTTAGCAACATCGTTTTGTGAGATGAGGGTTGGGGTGGAGAGGTGATCAAAGATGGTATTTATAAACACAACGCTCTTCCGTGTTTCTCTTACAGAAATATGCCCACACATCAGCAAAACATTTCTTCAAATGTCCACAGTGTAACAATCGAGAAGAGTTTCCTCAAGAAATGCTAAGAATGGGAATTCATATTCCAGACAGGTAGTGGAAACTCTAAGGCAGGAATTGAGCCAGGGAGTGGGTTGCCTAGATTTCTAGAGAGGAGGTGAGTGTGAGGTTAGTTCAAAGAATGAAGAAGCAGCCCAGGCATTGATATATGATAAAGAGGAAAGGAGTGGAGGGAGGGCCTGTCAGTTATTAAAAGAAAAGGAGGGGGAAAATGTAGGAATAGGGGTGGACATGTTCCTTAAAAGGGTACTTGGGGATCAGAATTCCCTGGGGGTTGGTTCTTGAGTTCCAATGTGAAACTAAGGAATCCCCATGTTCTACTCATCCTATTTCAGCCCTCCTGGCTGCGGGGCCACTCAGCCCATCTTGTTTACAGTTTTCGGGCAGCCTGTTGCACTCTTTTGCTGTGCTAGCTTGAGTTCTTTCTAGTTCCTCCCAGGTAGACAACGGTTTCACCACCAATCATGTGCCTCTTAACGGTTTCTTCTCCTGCTGCAGAGATGCTGCCTGGGAACTCGAGCCAGGGGCTTTCTCGGAGTTGTATCAGCGCTATCAACACTGTGATGCCCCCATCTGTCTGTATGAACAAGGCAGGGACAGCTTTGAGGAAGAAGGGTAGGGAAAGGCTCCTGGCTAGAATGATCACTCATCAGTGCCCATCTTAGACTTAGACCTTGGTACAACGATCAAGAGCAAGCAACTCACTCTTGTCTGCAGACCTCAGGGTGACCTGAGGTTCCATTCTTGACTAGCCGGAGACTCACTTGTGCACAAGTGGACAGGTTCCTTCAGGGTTTGCTCCTCCCCTGTGCCCAGGGGAGCAACCCTCAGGTTCAGTTCCTTCCCAAATCCACCTTTTGAGTATGTATGCCTGAGTGCTGGGTCCAGGGATTGGCACTTAGCCACAATGGGTCATGGGTAAAATGTATAGTGAAAATTGCCTGGGAAGCCCTCAGCAAGGTCCTGGCCTGTAGCAAACATTGTGAGAACAGTAGTCAGTGTTATATTTGTCCCCACAACCTTCCCTTGGCTCTTCCTGCAGGAGGTGGCGCCTCATTCTGTGTGCTACATGTGGATCCCATGGAACCCATAGGGACTGCTCCTCTCTTAGATCCAACAGTAAGAAATGGGAGTGTGAGGAGTGTGCACCTTCTGCTGAAGCCACAGGTGAGTCTGGAGGGAGTCTGGTCTAAGAGCTTGGGTGGGGATTTGTGGTGCCTGGAAAAGGAGGGTCTGCCACCAGATGGGGACTTTGAGGTGGAGCCTTTAGTTCAGGAAGGAAAGTGGCTGGAGAGAGGCTCAAGGGTCTGCTCCTGGAGAGAGGGGAGGACTGAGTCTTCCTCTCCACCTTTCTTTCACCACAGACTATACACCAGAAAACTCGGGTGACATCCCTTGTTGCAGCAGCACCTTCCACTCTGGGAGGCATTTCTGCCGAGACACCAGCCTGGAAGAGAATCCAGGCCCTTCTTGGACTAATTGGCCAGGACCTTCCTTATTAGAAAAGCCAGAGTCCTCTGGTGGCAGGAGGAGCCACTCCTGGCGGTCCAAGGGTGTCAAAATCACTAAGAGCTGCAAAAAATCCAAGTAACAGCTTCCGAGTAGTCGCTGCCAAGTACATTTGGGTATGAAGCTGTGCTCCTCCACCGGGTTTAGGGGAGGGAGCCCTTTGGGACTGTGAGACAAGGAAAGAGGGCCAGCAGTGAGAGTATGAAGCAAGGAAAGAGAAGTCCCAGGGGAGTGTGAGGACAGAACAGAGTCCAGATGCCAAGCTTGGAAGGTGTTAGTGGTTATGAGAGTGCCTCTGCTCTTTCTACCTGATCCCCGAAGGGCCTTCTCTTCTCCCACCCTAATCTGCTTCTCATATGCCTCTTCTTACTTCACCCACGTTTATTATTATGCAAATAAAGGTTTTCTCTCCATTGGTGTCTCCTTATAAATTCACTCTGGGATTTATCTAGCATACTGAGGAAACTGGAGGATAGAATGAGGAAATAGAAAATGTACCCTTCTAATCCATAAAATTCAGTGAATAAGTGCAGAATTTTCTACTACAAACACAGACATGTTGCTTTGGAGGGAAGCAGTTTGCAGGGAAATTAACTTTATGGGCAGGGACTTATGTGTCATCTGCCCATAAAGAGAATGCCCATAAAGAGATTTCATCATTGCACAAATAAACACAGGCTCTCATCAGGGAGGGGAGCCAGCAAAGGAGGCCACACTGGGCTGAGAATGGGCCACTATTGCAAGACTTGGGGCCCTGGACTCAAACAGGGCAGGAACTGCCATGCTCCCATTGAGTGGAAGGACTCTGTTCACTGCAGGCGGTGCGGTCTGCAGCATACCTCCACTCAAAACCTCACTGCCTCGTGGCTTGGGCATTTCCGTCTTGGGTAAGGGAACCATGCCAGGACAGTTGCATTAGGCAAGGCAGCTGGGATGGGAATCTGGCAGAAGGTCTTGGGAGAAATTGAATGGAACTTATCTCACATTTGTTTGTTTTTAATGATTTTGTGGGATTTAGGTTAGTGGGGGAAACTCAGGACTATTGCCAGATACTCAGTTCTCAGGGTTTCACAGAGTCATTGTCACCAATGGTGGAGGACAGGGTTCTTGGTTCAAATGTTGCTGTCCCCTGGAGACTTCCATCCTTAGTGTTCACAGTGATCACTTTTAGATTTGACGAGATTCACTTGGAATCACATGGGCTGTGGAGTTGTTATTTTTTTGTTATTGTCAAAGTTTGTAGGCAAAGTAATACAGAAGTTTAAAAAGTATTAAGTCAAGAAGTACTTAAAGGATTATAATGAAAAACAGTCTCTTGACTTATTTTTCCCTACTGTCAATCCCACTCCCTAAAGGCAACTACTTTCCATTATTTTAGCCAATTCTTGAGTCATTGGTCTTAGATGTTACTGATTTCCTATTATGTCACATAAAGATCTTGCTCCTTTAAAACCTTCCCATTTTCATTCTCTTCATCTTTTGTAATCGTGTCCTTTTTTGTTGAATTAACCTTTAGTGTTTACACTAGTAACCTTCAGTTTACTTGCTGTGAGCAGGTAAATGCCGTATACCTTTCAACCAAGCAGTGAACTAGGATTATTTTTCCTCTCCTATACATCGTTTTTTTCCTGAAATGAATACCTATCTCTTTTGCATTTGCTCAATTTGCTAGGTATCTATGGGTAATTCTTCCCAAATGTTCCACATGACAGTTGCCTCAAAATACAATGCCTCATAGGCCAAATATCAGATCACTGTTAGTTGCACTTCTTTTTTGAAAGACCTGCCTCCTATAGCCTACTCCTGAGCTGGCTTCTTATTGAGCCTACTACACAGCTAATGCCCTAGGGCTGCCCATGACTATGCCTTTTTTCTTCTTTTCCTCTCCTAGGATTTTGATGACTCAGTGCTGTGCTTCCTAACCTGCATTTCCAGGGACACCTTATCAGAGCTCTGCAAGTGACAAAGTTTTCAAATTGTGGATTTTCATTTCAAAAATAAATATTTTACCTAGCCTAAAAACTCAACTCTTTTTTTTTAAGTCTCAACTCTTATAGTGATAATTCACAGCTGCAAGACACTCCCAGATTAAGACTTCAATTTCTTAATCTAGAATTTCTATAATTTGGGTTACCAGGCATATTCTCAGAGATTTGGAGTAGCATCTTTCCCTTTAAGAGAATCCACTTGGAGGGGCACCAGTCGGCTAAGCATCTTCCTTTGAGGGGGGGGTCATGATCTCGGGGGTCCTAGGATCACCCCACACTGGTCTCCCTGCTCAGCAGGGAGTCTGCTGCTCCCTTTCCTTTTCCCTCTGCACCCCGTCCCCTCAGCTTGTGTGTGTGCTCACTTGGGCACCTCTCTCTCTCTCTCTCTCTCTCTCTCTCAAATAAATCTTTCAAAACAAAAAGAATCCACTTGGGGACTACTCAAGTGTGACAGACACCATCTTAACTGAAAGTAGTGGTCTTCTAACAGGGCCTTCTGGACTCCAGCTGCAGTGAGTGGGAGGTACAGCTTGGGATGGGTTTCGGGGTTAGGGGATGCCTTTGTCCTCCAGAGATTCAGCTGCCTGATCTTTGGGTATAGTTGGCCTTATGGATACCTAGCAGAGTGTGCATATGTGTGTACACACACATACACACACACACACACACACACACACATACTCTCCCTTTTAACCATTTCTTTATCTCTATACCTGTACTCTTCATTGATTTTAATAGCTGCCAGGGAAAGTCACCAACTTTGAAATGTTCTGTTCTTCACCTAATCGATCATTCTCTGCTAAATAATGGGGCTCTTTTTCCATACATGTACTTTTAATTTAGGATAGTTTTAGATTTACATAAAATTGAGAAGATAGTACAGGGAGCTCCCATATATCCCAAACCCAGTTTACCCTATTAATACCATCATACATTAATATGGTACATTTGTCACATTTAATGGACCAATACATTATTATCAACTAAAACCCAAAGTTCATTTAGATTTCCTTAGTTTTCACCTGATAGCTCTTTTCTCTTCTAGGATCCCATCAGGAGACCACACTGCACTGAGTCATCCTGTGTCCTTAGGTTCCTCTTGGCTGTAACAGTTTGCCTGATTTTCCTTGTTTTTAATGACCTTGACAGTCTGAGGAATACTGGTCAGGTATTTTGAGAGTCCTCAGTTGGGATCTGTCTGATGTTTTTCTCACAATTAGACTAGGATTATAGGTCTGAGGGAGGGAGACCACACAGGTAAAGTGCTATTATCATGTCATATCCAAGTTATAAACTATCAACATGTCTTTCACTGTTGATAGTGACTGTGATCATCTGGTGAGGAGTGTTTGTCAGGTTTCTCCAGCATAAAGTTAACTTCTTTTCCCCGCTTTCTAGACTGCCTTTTGGAAGGAAGTTACTCTGTGTAGCCCACAATTAATAAGTGGGGATTTATGCCCCCTCTCTCCTTGAGGTCAGAATATCTACATTATTTGGAATTCTTCTGCATGGAAAACTTACCTATTCTCTCCCACTTATTTATTCGGTCATTTGTTTATGTCAGTCTGGACTTAGGGATGTACATAGTGTAACCCAATACTGCTTGATTTATTTTGTTGCTCAAATTCTCAAATTATTCCAGCTCTGGCCATTGGGAACTCCTGTGTCCTTTTCACATACCCCTTTTATTGCATGTTTTGTTATTTTGTTTTGGGTTTTTTAAAAGATTTTATTTATTCATGAGAGAGAGAGAGAGAGAGAGAGAGAGAGAGAGAGAGGCAGAGACACAAGCAGAGGGAGAAGCAGGCTCCATGCAGGGAGCCCGACGTGGGACTTGATCCCAGCTCTCCAGGATCACAACCTGGGCTGAAGTCGGTGCTAAACCACTGAGCCACCCGGGCTGCCCAGGTTGTTTTGTTTTGTTTTGTTTTGTTTTGTTTTGTGGACTACTTTACCTTCTGGCACTTCAAGATCCTCCAGTTCCCTCTTCTAGGATTTAAATCTATATTTTCATAAATGATCCATCTAATAGAATTAATTCCTGCTTTATTACTTAGGGCCTAGAACAAATAGTTCACTTGGGGAGAGTTGAAATAGATGTTAAATAAGAATTCTCCAAAACACCTTCTCTACTTCCTCTAATTCTTACCTTTGTAGGAACCATAAACTAGGGCCAGAAATTCCAGAATCTCCTTCACCCCCTTTATCCTCAACCACCCTCTTTCTCGTCAATTTGACTATTTTATAAATGTTTGCCTTCTTTGCCATCCCTTTGCCAGTGCTCAGCTTGGTCACCTGTGCCTCAGAGGACTGTAGTGAAAGCCTTCTCTGCATGGTTTCCTATGTCCACTTGCTTTGCTGATAAATCCACCCTTTTCCCTTCTGCTAATTACCATAAACATCTGCTAGCTCTTTACTTAGGATGGCTCTGCTGAGATTAGCATCTAAGGTCTTCTACAAATATGGCCCTACTTAGCAGCATCTCCCTGGACACTCCACCCACAGGCACTCTGCCCTGGCTACCCTGGAACACTGGGCCCTGAGCATGAGGTTTGCAGTATGGAGAGCCATAACCTCTGTCCTCAGCCTGCTGAACCTAGCATAAGGGCCATTTCTTCACTTGCACTGGTCTCTGCTTCTATCCTATTAGAGCTGGCATCATTCTCCACCTGGCCCTACAGTTGTGTAAATATATCTCTCATTAGATTGGAAGCCCCTTAAAGGCAGGGATCTGTTTGTCTTATTAACCTTTTTTCCGCCCATGATGTGTGGCTCCAGACCCCACAGTCAGAGGCAGTTTGATATCTACTGAATTGACAGAAGTGCTTATACCTTATATTCATGAACCTGTTGTTTTACTGTCAAACAACAGAGGGCACTGTTAGCATTTTGAGGAAGAAGATTTTAACACTTTAGAGCTGGAAGGTTGAGAAAGGCTTATTTATGAAACCTTGCTTCTATTTTGGGATTGCATAGGACTTACTGCTCTTCACTTGTTCTAAACACATCCATTTGTGTTTATTCATGGGGTATGCTGGTATTGGATTTAGAGATTAGTATGAAAGTTATTATTATTATTTTAGTATGAAAGTTATTTTTTTTAAATTTTTATTTTAAATAAATAAGAGAGAATAAATGAGAGAGAGAGAGAGAGAGGCAGAGACACAGGCAGAGGGAGAAGCAGGCTCCATGCACCGGGAGCCTGACATGGGATTCGATCCCGGGTCTCCAAGATCGCGCCCTGGGCCAAAGGCAGGCGCCAAACCGCTACGCCACCCAGGGATCCCTAGTATGAAAGTTATTAATGACACTTCCATCACAGGTCAAATCCTCAGTCAGGTCTGCCTTCATGGTCCAGACCCAAAGTGATCCTCATAATTTCAGCTGCCCTCCTCCTACCCTCAAAAATGAGGACTGCCAGTTCCAAGAGAAATGGGTGATATAGTTCTGTTCTTCTGCCCCACTCTCCACACACACACACACACACACACACACACACACACACACACACACACATTAAGGCCTCTAGTTAGTGACATCAAAGGCTCTAACCTGTGGACCAGACAGGAGGTTGCTATGAGAAATAGCGTTTCCATTGGCCCTGCCCTGAGGGACACTTTGTTAATTCCTATGTGCTCCCAGGCTAGCTGGAGGTACGTTGCAACTACATGGGAGTCCCCAGGTCTGAAAAGTCTCCCTAGTAACTAAGCTAGGAAGCCCCATTCCAGAGACGTCTACTATTTGGAAGGGTCTCATGCCTTCTACATTTTTTTTCCCAAAAAGCAATGTGGCAACTGGAGGTCATAAACCAAAAACTTGCTTTTTTTAAGAAAACAAAAAACAAAAACTTTGTTCTAGCTTCTCTGTAGCAAACCACCTCTAGCATGTGCAACAGCTAAGCAGTGCAATAGCTAGAGGCCTGGAAGAAAGGAGAGGCCTGGGGCTCCTCCCTGTTGTCTTTGGTGTAAACTTGTTCCTTGACCCTGCCCTGCAAGCACCTCTGATAAACAGGAAGGCATCCACGCCATCAATGTCCATCCCCCTCAGAGCATCTGAGACTTGTCTAGGCCATCAAAGCCATCCCCAGACCCCAGGAGTATTCTAAAGGGGACTCCAGACTCACCAAAAACAATTCCCCATTGTGTTCCCCCCCTCTTGGAAATCAGGGATCTGTAAACAGGCCCTTACATTTAGACAGGTCCTGCCCTGTCTTTGTGCTGGTGTGTTTTTTCTTCCCTAAACAATGTCCTTTCCAGCAGGGCAAGCCTGTTCACACCATTGTCCGAGACCCTTGGACTACAGGAAACAGCACCAGATTCTTATCAGCTGGGGGTGGGGGGCAGCGTGAACAGATGAGGTCATGTCCATAAAGCAAGCTGCTGGTTTGCCATATCATTCTTCTGTATCTTTATCTGTGAAAGCAGAGCCCCCCTTGTCCTCCTAACAGTCCCATATGGGCTTTGTGTGTCCTACTACTAGAGTCCTTTCCATTTGATGGCAGACCCCTAGACTCTGCTGCAGGCCTCTGTTAATTTATTTTGGAATCCTTGACAGCCCACAACAGTCCCCTTTTCCTGGTCTTCCCTCTCTGCACAGTGGGATGCTTAGGAAAGTAAAACACACCCCATTGGGATGGATTAGGGTCCACTCCAGTCATCTTCCTTCTTGGGGGAAAGAGGTCAAGACTGGTCACCTGAGTCCGCCTCAGCAGAGTCCCTAAGTATAAGCTACTAGCTGACTGTCAAGGTCCGGGTGAGGATAGGAGCAGGTGGGCCTCATAGGAGGCCCTCCTAGAGTCTGTGGAGCATTTCCCATTCTCGGTGGAGAATGATCTTTTAAAAGGCTGCATTGAGGAACCAGGAGTTTCCTTAGTGAAAATCCAGTGGGGAAAGTGAAAGGCTTCATTAGGACAAGGCCTCTAGGGAACGGGGCCAGTAGCCGTACCCACAGCAAGGGTGGGCAGGGGCAGGGCAGTGGGAAGTGGACACAGAGCCATAGCTGCTGTTGCCTCATCTCCTGTTCACCAGGGTGGGTGGGTGAGTCCGGAAGAGGAACCAGGGCAGGGGCCCCACAATCCTTAAGCTCCTAGTCAGATATTGTATGAAACCTAGCCCCACCCATTCACTCTCTCCCTACACCAAGTCCAAGTTTATAGTCTTAGATAACCTTGGGGATTTGACCTTGGTGTGGGCTGAACCTTCTTGGGGGAGATCCTGAGAATCAGCACTTGGGGAAGGCTGTGGTGGCTACCTAACTAGGAATGGAAATCAGGCTGTTTCTGAGCAATTGCCTCCTAGTTCTAAGAAGGAGATGTGGCTGGCTGGAGAAGCCTCAGTGCTGTGGACTGGCAGAGGCATGTGAGTGAGGTCCCTATCCAGCACCCCCACTCCCATCAGCGCTATATCTGCACCTGGGGCCCCTGACAGCCCATGGAGAGGACAGCTCGGCTCCTGATGGCTGCTGCCTGCCCCCTCCTCCAGTTGGGGGATTCAAAGTCTGCCTAGAAACTGACCTGGGCTTAGCTGAGTGCAAGGAGGCCATTTGAGAAAGTGAAAAGGGCTGTTTTCCTCCCCTTTTCTGCTTCCTCCCTACCCCTACCCTTCCTTAGAAGTGAATCTGCTGAACTGCTGGGCAGCCAAGGCTTTGGGTGAACCCCAACCATCCTCAGAGCATCTTGCTCAAAGTGGGCTGTGGAGGCAGACAGTGTGGGAAGATGGGCAGAGGCCAGACCCCAGGGCCGGCAAATTGGTGGCCTGGCAGCCCTGGCCCTGGGACAGCGGATCCTGCTCCAGTGCCTGCCATGGGATCTGGAAGGCCAGGGCGTCCAGAGTGTACAGGCTTAGAAAGCATAGATTAATAAACTGATCTCACATGGCAGGGGAAGGAATTAATCAAATCAGCATTTTCCCAAAGTATGTTTCGAAACAGTAGAAACATGAGGTGGTGATTACTTGAGGGGGAAATAAGGACCCCAGGTTTGGGAGAATCATGTAGCTCTCAGCAGACATGCAAATTAATGAGAGATTATTGTGGACTTCTCAGGGATTTCACAGAGCAAACGGGCTGCACACACAGCAGCTCCGTGGGGGCTAAAGGCACAGAAATCCCGTATATATCTGACCCTTATCACAGAGGATCTCACATTCCACAAGACACCATTTTGGATAATGCTCACCTTGTGTCTTTCTTGAAGCCTCTTTCCAGCACTAAACACATTTGGGAACTGATGACACAGGCCCAAAGATTAGGGGAAATACGAGACTGTGAAGAAAAAGCCACCAGAGAGAGAGAGAGGGAGGCCCCTGAGCGGGAAATAAGGCTTAGGGTGGGAGGCATGAGGGGGAAAAGTCCAGGCCAAAGGGGTGGGAAGGTGGAAACAGAGCTGCTGTGGCCTGGGGAGAGAAGTCAAGTTCACACAGCCCTCTCAGCTCCACACTCTGTGCCAAGTGGGTGCTGATGATGCTTCTTAGGCAGTGGTGGTGGTGGCTGCATAGGGCAGGGCAGAGTGGTTCAGTTCTGTCAAGCCCAGGAGCAAAAGGAGGGGTCCCACTCTAGCGCTACACCATGGGATGGACAACTGACCTGTTAAGCAACCCCACTCTGTAGTATAGACTGAGGGGACCAGGCAAGCAAGAAGCTAGTCTCCCTGGCAAGATGTCCCTCCCATCTGCAAATCACCCCTGCCTTTTCCCATCTCCCTCCAGCACCACTGGGCTCTGTTATTTGGGCAGGGGCATGATGTCACCGGGGGAGTGGGAGCTGTGGTCAGTGGCGCCTTCAGCAGCATCCAGACTTCCCCTCCTCCTCAGAAGCTGCAACCCCCACAGCAGAGCCCGGCTCCCCAGGCAAGGGCACAGTGGCCTTAATATATGTTGGTATGTGACTTGCCACGAAGACAGGCACCAGGCCAAGTGTTGCTGTTACAAATATCAAGAGTTACTGTGGAAAAGGAACGGGGCTGCCTACGTGCCCAGCTGCCCTTTGCCAGCATTTTTTTTCTGACTCAAGATCTTCCTGAAGTCCAAGAAGGTCAGTCTCAGAAGCCTGAGGGGCATGAGTTTCCTAATTTAATAAGCGATCTCAGTTTCCTAGACAAAGCCCTTTGACTCCTTCCTTCCTTCCCCTATGCTCATCTCCCTGCCTTCTAGAATATACCACTTAGCGTGGCCTTCTCCCTCCTGGAATAGATGGAAAGGCTCTTCATTTCTAGCCCACGCAGATGACGTCAGTTTAGAACAGAAATACAGAGATACAATAATATAATTACGTGATGTAAATATTCACTGCATGGCTTTCCTTGTAGATCTGTGTGGTAGACCACCGTGGAGCTTCATCAAAGCACACAGGTTGTCATGACAATAAAAATTACAATAGTAATTATGATAAGCGTACTCTGAAGACAGAAACCACAAGGCTGATCTCAACACATGAATACAAAAATAGAATTCACACATAGAGGCATTTCCAGGAGTTAATCACACACAGTACCACAGGGGTGGGAAGTGTGGGAAGCTGGCAGAAGCCGTCTGTAATTTTCTAAGTACAGGTGTTCGTTGTTCAGGATTTTGAGCTCCTCCATTTTCTAGAGTAACTTCCCCAGAGAAACCTGCCTGGAGCAGGCCTTGCCTGGGTCCAGCCTAGAGGCCACTGAGAGCCTGGTCATTTCTTCCTTGTTTCTCCAGGATAGAGGGGCTGCAGCCCTGTGCACCCATTCCTGGGCTCATGCTCTTTCCTCCCCCTCTTCCATGGCCTCTACCTGCCCCTCTAGTCCCTCCTCCAGGTCCCTTTCTTACAGTCCTCTCCTCTGCTTTTACCTGCTAACACCTCGGCCACAGCAACCTTAGGCCCACGGCTTCCCAAGGGGTTGTCGGGTCAATCTCAGTGCCTCTGGTTCACTTCCGGTGAAGTCAAAGAAGAAGGGGGGCCTATTTTGGATCCCAGTTCTCTGGGCATCATGGGGTAAGTCAGATAAAATCCAAGGCAGATGCACAGTCTGGGTTTGAGTTCAGTGGAGCAGGAAGCCTTCTCCTGCTTTTCTATGTTTTTTTCTTCATTTCTTCATCTTGGTTGTTTTCATGGAGGGAATCCCAATCCTAATGCTCTTGCCCCCTACCCCCCACCTCCCATTGGTTTTGTGCATCACTAACTTGCTCACATGCAGGCTGGGAATGACTTTTCATTCAATCTTCCTCCTCTCCTCTGCTCCCCAGCCCAAGAAACATATCACTTCTGATGGAAAAACACCTCCTTACATGCCCAGACAAAATGCATCCTGGCCACCTGAGCCTGACCCCCAAGAACCAGCAGGACTTAGCAAGCTTTTGCCCTCCATTTTTTTCCTTTAAAAGAGAAAAGTCATCATAAATGCAACCATTCACCACCAACCCTCACTTAGTAGAAACCAAAGATTCCAGGCTGGGAAACATCTGGCTTTCCTGTGGCTCCTGAGCTAATTGATCTATTTTGGTTTCTTGAGAACGCCTGCTCTAGCCCATCCTAGATCTCTCACCCTCTCCCCATCCCAGATGCCACCCAATCCTCTGTGGCCCCAGGCATGGTCCTCCCACCAGCTGCAGCTTGCTCAGGGAGCTGCCACATTCTCATCCTCCCTAGCTGTGGGCATGCTTGCATTGCCCTGTGAAAGAGCCCCCTCCCCCTGCCTCTTGCTTCCCTGGCTCCCCTCTCCCCATCTCTAATCCACAGAGAGAGAGGGGATGACTTTCTTCTACACGTCACCCTCTCCCTGCTCATCAGCATGAAGGCCCTGCTGGTGGGAAGAGGGAATCTCATCAGGAGGTCTGGGAGTGCCAGGGAACCTGGCCTGGAGAAGGGAAGTCAAGCTGTGAGACACCATTTGGTTGATGATGTGGGGCCTGAGAGCCAGACACCCCACCCCCACCCCCAGGATCCTAGGAAGTTCCAGCTGTCAAAGATTCTATGATTCTGTGTTGGAGGAGAGGTGGTAGGCAGGGAGCCACCAAGATATCAGGGCACAAAGTGGGGAAGGGTCTTAGTGTTCCACGTTCCCGGCACCTCTACTTCCCTGCCCTAAGTCACACGAGGTCCTCTTAATGGGTGGTAGCTTAGAGGCAACTTCCATCCTCCTCTGGCTGCCTAAGGGCCCCCTGCCCAGACACCTCCTCAGACGCACCCACACACCCACCCCAAGGGTCACTCAGAATGGCCATTGTTTTGCTGGCTGGGAAAGAACCACCCAGGCCTCTCACCTCCAGGCACAGCCGGAAATGTGTTCTGGGGGCCACCTCTGAGAACAAACAGCAGGCCCACTAGGGTTGGCAGCAGCCAGAGGGTGCTGGCTCCAGCCTGGGACCGAGAGCACAGAGTGGCAGGGCACAGGCTTGGACACAGGTCCCCTCTATCGGGCCCCAGCCTTTCCTGTGGGCAGCCTGGTAGAAGTATGGGGGGCAGAGACTTCCATTTCTAAGAGGCAGTCAGGCACATTGCCCCCCCCTCTGCCCTAGCTGGGTGGGTGGGAGACTCTGGGGGCTGCCGGGCCACCCAGTCCATCCCAACCACCCTCTCCTCCACACCCTTCTACGTGGCCTCCACCTCCCGGGGTGTCCGATTGCGCTCGGCCTGCACCCGGCTCTTCACCTTCTTGCCCAGCTCCAGCCCTGCCCAGTTCTTGCCTTTGGCCTGTTTGCCCCGGCTCCTGGAGGAGCACCACACGCGCTCACAGTACTCATCCACACGGGGCAGGTTGGCAAAGCCGATGAGCTGCAGGATGTCCTTATACCAGGCCTTGGAGGGAGTAGACACCAGGCCTCCCCTGGCTGGGGGCTCCTCTGGCCTTGGCTCCCGGGGAAACAGGCTGTTGAGCTGAGAGGCTGCAATCACTTCCAGAGCCAGGCGGATCACAGTCTGGGAGAAACCATGCTCCAGTGTCTTGCAGGTGTAGGTGCCTGCATCTAGGAGGCTGAGTCTGCGGAACAGCAGCCCCTGCTCTGTTTGCAGGACTCGCTCATCTGTCTTTACCTGTGGGGGGCATGTGAGAGGGTGTGAAGGGGGCATGGAGTAGGGCACACACACCATCAGTTTCTCTCCCTGCTTTTCCAGATTCACATCTCAGGGCCTGGTGCTGAAGCACCCCTTCTCACTCTTTCCTGCCCAGGCTGGCTTCCTCCTCCCGACTGTGAGCTAATTGTAGGTAGGCTCTCACCCTCCCAGGACCCAGGATGAGGCCAGCAAAGGAGGCTTTAGTTTCTCCCCTAGTCAGAGCTCTAGGGCACATACCTTGGCCTTAGGGGGCCCTTCCAACAGTCCCAGGGACCAGAGTGGGTAAAGGGGTACTTATGGGCTTTTATTCAGGGAGGACGATACCCATTACCCTAGGACGAGAAGTCCCTTCTACTCTACACACACACACACACACACACACACACACACACACACACGCACACACGCATGCACAGCCTTCTCCATCCCTGTCTACACTGTTCACTACACCAGCGAGGGGTGGGCTGAGTGCCCATCACACTGCAGAATGCAGGAAAGCTCTTCTGATTCAGCCTGGACCCTGTCTGCTCATCTGCACGTGGAGGCTGGGACTGCCTGGGCGGTAAGTATTGTGTAACCATCTTGTTGCTCCCTGCCTTTGGCCCCCTGGGGGTGTTTTCTTAGTGCCTAGCCCAACAGCTGGCCCAAAGCTGGCCTCCCCCAGTTCCCAAGCTGGAAGGAGAGCCCCTCCTGTAATCAACCCACTCCCTCCCCTTCTCTGCCCACAGGAAAGGCTGGGGAACGGATCCTCACCCTACCCCACCCACGCCTTCCTTGGGCCCCAGACTGAAGCCAGTTCTGGGGTTGACAGACCTTTCTGGTTGGGGGAGGAAAAGGCGTGGGCAGACAGCTGGACTCCGTGGAGAGAGTGTTGAGCTAGGCAGTGGGTGTGTGTATAGGGATGTATGCGTGTGCAAATTTTCTAGGCACCACCCTGGGGCAGAGGAGAACCAAGACCCCCTGGGAAGAGACTCCTTCAAAGATGAACCATATGTGTAAGCATGGGGGGCTTCTTGACCAGCCCAGACCCCCATCCCTCTCTTCCATCTCTGCCACCCACCTCCCAGAGCTCAGTTCAGGGTCTGGGAGTTAATGCACTGAATGGGTTGCAGCCACATCTGACTTGGGCGTTCCCAGAGTCAGGAAGAAGGGCACCTTCTCCCTGGGACTTAATACACACTTTTCTTCAGTTGACCTTGGCAGGTTCCCCCTCAGAGCTCCTTCCTAGCGTTCAAGGCTTGGGGTTCAGGGAGAGACGTGGCATCAGGACACATGCAGGCAGGAGACAGGGTCCTTGCTTACCTGGTCGGGCCCCTGGCCTCCTGGCCTCTGCAAGAACCAGCGCACAACAGCCTGGGAAGACTTGGGCAGGCACTCCAGGAAAGTGCTGTTGTGCTCCGTGCCATAGACAGTGGTGGCTGCCACGGGGCCTGCAGCCTCCTCTGAGGGGAGGTGGAGAGGGGCTCAACTCAGGACTCTGGGACCCCAGGGCCCCCACCAGTGTGACAGGGACCTAAGTGTCCATCACTCTGTGCAAAGACCTTATACCCATAAACTGATGGGAACTGCACACATAGGAAAACTGAGGGCTGGGTGCTAACACAGGTTCAGTCAGAGGTTACACTTCTCAGGGGTTGAGCAGGGACAGAGGGGTGAGGAGGGGCCTGTGGGAGCCCGCTGGTGCCTACGCTTGCCACCACTCACCTTCCTGGCTCTCGCCCAGGCACTGCAGGGCAGGGTTGCCGTGCCGGATGTCCTGCCTGCGGAACCGGCGCTTGCCGGTGCCAGGCTGATAGCGGGTGCAGGAGGCACCGTCCCAAGCACAGTATGGGTCTCGGGCCAAGCAGCACTCGGCACAGGCACTGCCGTAAGTTTCACACTGGTGCAGCTGCAGCCGGGCCACACCTAGCCTCGAGCCCACGTACAGCATTTGCTGGGAGGGACACAAGCAGAGCCAAGGTGAGCCTGGGTCCCACCCGGAAGCAGCTAGGCTCTTGGCCCCCTTGGGCTTCCTGAGACTGCCCCACCCCCATTTGCAAGCAGTCTTCCAGAACCTCTTGGATGCATCCCCAGAAACCAAACATGTTTATCACCCACCTGACATACACCAGATCCTCTGCTAAGATACAGAGGGCATGGGGCAGACCTTTCTCTAAGAGGCTTCTCCAAGCCCTTCCTGCTGCTGACCTTTGCTCTCTACCTCAATAGTCTTTATCCTGACCTGCCTCTGACCTTAGTAGTGCACTCTGCTTTAAGCAATCCCAATGCAAAAGCTGGGATTTACCCAAAGGTAAACTGGGGCAAGATAAACTTGAGATTTTGCCACTTGCAAAAGGACCCAGCAGGCCTCTAAAAAGTGGCTCTCCCCTATTTGATTTAAATTCTGGGTTTTGTTTTCTTTTTCTTTTCTTTTCTTTTTTTTTTTTTTTAAGATTTTATTTATTTATTCCCGAGAGACACAGAGAGAAGCAGAGACATAGACAGAGGGAGAAGCAGGCTCCATGCAGGGAGCCCAATGTGGGACTCGACACCCGGACTGGGATCATGCTCTGAGCCAAAGGCAGACTCTCAACCACTGAGCCACCCAAGCATCCCTGGATTTTGTTTTCAAGCATGAATCGGCCTCCCCAGGGTCACTGGCCTTTGTGGCTCTCCCCTTCTCCAAACACAGCCTCACTTACTAAGGGCTCCCACTGCCCACTGGTTTCATGCATGGGCCTCTCAGCTCCCTGCTGGACTCTCAGGCCTCTTTGTGAGGCCTAATCAGGCAGCCCCAGGGTCTGCTGCAGCACTGCTTTCCAGCAGACAGAAGCCCAGCTCAAAGAGCTTCAGTTGAGGGGTTTGAAGAAGAAGAAAGGGTGGGATATCAGCTGCTCTTACCCTTTTGACAGAGATCTCCATGTCAGTGATGGGTGTTGGCACCTGAGGAAGGAGCAGGGTCTCAGAGAGAGGTGGCCTGAGGCCAGACCTCCTCTGCATCCCTGCTTCAGCCACGTCCAGCCCTCCCATAGGAGCCACCTATTTCCCAGCCTGGGTCAGCACCCTCCTTGGCAACTAAGGCCAGACATTCTTTCCCAGATGTCGAGTTATTAGAAAGGTCCACTCACCCTGACTGGCCTCCAAGGAGAAGCCTTAGTAAAAAGCACAAAGCTCTGGTGTCCCCTCCCACAGCCCTGTTTTCCAGCAATGAGGCAGCTGTCCCACATCACCCATCCCATGTCAGGAGCACAGCAGTCTCCCAGATGCCGATGACACCCTGCCTGGCTCTCTAGAGGGGACCACAGAAGCCTCTAGGGACTTGGGATCTCAACCACCCCCTCACCACTGCTTGAGCCTGGCAGGCTTTGTCAAGGGTCAATCACCTTGGACAGCCCTCCTAGGACCCTCCCAGTTTTCTCTCTGCTCCCCCCCACCCCGGGGGGGGGGCAGACAGAAGCATCAGCAAGGCCCCTATAGCAGTGATGATCTCACTTTCACCTCCCACTGGCTGCAAGGTCAATAAAGACAGGCCCATCTCTCTCCTGTACTTTGCTCCATGTGTCCCCAGAGCCAGGCCTAGACATAGCAATGGGGCTGGAGGGGACTCTTCCCACCAGTACCCCCTGCCCCCAGCCCGCCCTCACCTTAAACACCTGGAGCTCCTCCAAGACCACCTCCTCAGACGTAGTGGAGTCTCCACCCTGGAGGGCGATGACCTTGAGCACAGAGCCTGAGTCTGAGGCAGGAGAAGAGGGGTCAGTGGGAGAAGAAGGAACTGCCCTCCCCCCTGCCCACCACCAGCACACCTCCCCAGCCCGGGCCACCCGTTCAGCCCACCCACCAGTCCCCAGGAAGATGACGTCGTAGGTCCCGTCCTCTGCCTGCACTCGGTCCACTACGATCTGGCGCAACTGCTGGGCCAGGTGTGTTTTGACAAGGACAGGGTGGCCCAACCGTGGCCGCACAGGCCGGAACATAAGTGGGTGGGCTCGGGCGAACTGCAGCACCTCATCCGGGTAGTTCTTGGTGCTGCCAAAGGGTCGTCCAGGCTGTGCCGTCATCTTGCTGGGACACTGTGAGTGGCAGCAGAGGGAGCACCTGAAGCATCCCGGGACTACACGTTCCCCAGCCCAGTTTGTTTCCAGGCCCCACAGCTCAGGCCTGCCCGCCTCGGAGGGATCCTCTTGCTGTAGCAAAGCCTCCTTAATGTGGTCGGGGCTCTGCTCCCCTCTGGAGCCCGGGCTCAGCCACAAGGTTGTCCCAAGGTGGAGTCCCTCTGGTGACTGCTCGGCCCTCTTCCCTGGCCTGGCTCCAGGCCGATACTCACCACTCCAGGCCGAGGGAAGGGCACCTTGCCCCCATAAGGTCCCCACTGGTGCTGGGGACCATCCTGGTGGGCAAAGGGCCCCTTGAAGACCTCCCAGATATCCTCCATGTGGTACACGCAGACAGCGAAGCCCTGGAACACGGCACTGTCAAGGGGAGGACAGGGACAGTCAGGCCAGGGTGGCTGTCCTAGGTGGGAAGGGGGCAGCCTGGCTCCACGGACAGGACAGAAGGTGATGGTGCCTGCAGAGAGCAGAGACCCCAAAACAAGGACACCCAGGCAAATTTGAAGAGAGGGAGATAGAGAATAGAGCCTCAGAGTCACTGAGTCAGGAACAGAAAGGACCCACGGTAAAGTCAGAACATGAAAGCAGAGGCTCAGCAGAGGACGCTGGGGGTGCAGAGACTAGACCAGGGACAGGAATGTGGGGGGAGGCCTGAGTGCCCACCTGACTGTGCTAAACAGAGCATACACCTCAAGGGTCTTTCCTGTGCTGGGCCACAGCAGGAACACATCCTCTGGGAGACAGAAGGCCACCGTCAATGCCCCCCACTCACTGGCTCTGAGCCCCCCACACCCACATCCATGCCCACCCCAACCGTGCCCTTACCCAGCTGGTCAAAGTGGGTCTCAGCACCACCAGGGCCAGGCACTGAGCACACCAGCCTGGCCTTGAGAAAGGTGCTCCATTTGTTCACCAGCACTCGCTGGCCACCCGCATCATTCTGGGGGGTGGAAGATCAGAGTCAGCCTTGAGCTCCACGGGGATGGGTGCCCCCTCACTCCTGCTCCTCCACTCTCACATCCTTGTGAGGAGAGGCATGGATGTTGGCTTCACATGCTTGCCTCAGTTTCCCTCCTGCTGCTTGTGGGAACAGGTGTAGGAAGGGGGTATGGTGAGGATCTGAACCTCACTGCCTCCTCACAGCTCTTACCATGCAGACACGGCCCACACGGCTGACTGTGACATGGCCTGGGCCACCATCGGGTGAGGGCACAGTTTCCGAGAAGAAGAAGTACACCTTGTCATCGTCCCGGTCGGAGTTGTCAGCAATTCGGGCAGCCATCACAAACCGAGGGTCTGGGAGGTGACAAGGTACGGCTGGTTGGGAGGGACTCACAGGGGAGAATGGAGTGATGGGGAGCTGCTGAGGCCAGCTGGGAGGGGAAAAGGCACAGGGATCCCACTGGAGGCTGGAGTCCCAGGGAGTAGAGTGGGGTTGGGCGGTCCCTCCCATCTCCGCTCCAGGGCCAGCTCTTGTGCCTCCCTATCAGTGCCAGGGGCAGACCCGAGCCAGCCTTGCCCTGGGCAGACCCTAGGCTCACCGTGTAGGAGGTTCTGGTCAGAGTCAGAACGCAGAGCTGGCCGGGAACCCCCACTCCGGAAGATCATGGCCTCGCGCCCCAGGAAGTCAGCAGTGAGACCCGTGTATAGCTCTCCACCTAGGTGAGAATGGGGCAGAATCAGGGAAGGAGGGCCAGGATCCATAGTTGGCCCCAACACTTCCAAATGACATTGGCCAGCACCCACCCTCATCATGCCCATCCTGGGCACACCCTGGGCTGGGCATCACCCACCTACAAAGGTGCTGGCGAAGGGACTGCTGGGCTCATGTGGGCACCGCCCCCGCCCACTTTCCACACTGCTGGGCTCAAGATGGAGCACATGCTGGGGGAGAGAGAGGAAGGGAGGAAGGATGTCACCTGGGAAAGCAGCACCAGCCCACCCCCCTCCCCGACCCCGCCGGGCAGTGACCATCGCGTGCAGCTGGAGAGTGGGCGGAAGGCGCCCTCATTCAGGACCTCGCCAACAGGGTCAGCCTGGCACAAAGATGCCTTTCAGCCCCCTGACCCCTCTGCCCTGAGCAGGCTCAATAGGGAGCCTTCAGACAGCAGGAAGGAAATGCCACTGCTTCCCAGTCCCTTGTGGGGCCTGCCCCAGGCTCACCTCCCCCCGGTGCCCGACCGTGATGAGGGTGCAGGTGGGTTGAAAGGCCCCAGTGCCACATGCCAGCAGGTGGGTCCGGTTGTGGGGCTGCAGCACCCGTATGAAGTTGGCACATTCCACCTAGCAGAAAGAAGGGGTGGGGTGGAGGGAATGAGGGGGTCCTTACCTTGGGCCCCAGGATTCAGCCCTGCCTAGCTGATCAGCTCTGGGGATCGAAGGTGGGGGTGACGTTCTTTGCAGAAGGCCCCTAGCACAAGTACCTGGGGGAGTGCCCATAGGCTATCCTGGGGGTCAAGCCCTGGGCATTGGTCAAGGCTTGGGGGGGGGCAGTCACTCCTGACAGCACTCACCAAAGGATCTCTTCCCTTGCGAACACACTCCTCCTTCTGTCCTGGCTGCGGCGGCCACAGGACCTACAACACAGCCTGGCTGACTCCTGACTTCACAGCCTATTTCCCAGACTGGCCTCCCAGCTCTCAGACAGAGGCTTCCCTCTGTCAGTCCCACTCACCTCCCGGGGATCCAGCCATGATTGGTCCAGCCGCAAAGAATAGATGGCATCACGGCCCCCCAGAAAAAGGCGGTCCCGGTACTCATCCAGGTACATGGCCCGAAGGTCCAGCGAGCCCCGGGGACCCAGAAAGACAGCAGAGCGGTTGGCAGACAGGAGATCTAGCCAAGAGCAGGATGAGGGTCAGTGCCTACTGCTCGGCCCACTTCCCCAGCTAGGGTGTGGAGGTGGAGGGTCCCAGCTGTGCATCACCTCCCCACCATACCCACATGCACGTCTGGAAAATGTTTCCATCCACAGGCCTGCTGGAGAGCTTCTGGGAGAGGGTTCCTGGGGGTGGGTGGGGCAGGGGGCTCAGCCCTGCTGCCTACTCCTCCATTCCTTAGTCCCTTGATCTTCCAGTTAACATCTCCTTCCCACAGGCCCATCTGTGCCCTACCCAGTCCCCAGGGAAGGTGGCCTCACTGGCAGAACGGATGGTAGCAAGCTGGGCAAAGTGCTGGAAGAGCCCAGAGAAAGGGTGGGTGAGTGTGAGCAGTGTGCTGACTCGGTGGGACAGACAAGGGGGAGCATTCCCAGCAGAGGGAACACCTGGCAAAGGCCTGGGGATGGGAAAGGCCAGGTACGGCCTGGCGGAGCCCCAGGCTCTAGTCCAAGGATGTGACTAAGGAAGCTTTCTCCTCCATAGACACTGCCCTCCCAGGCCCCAGCAGTAGTGGGGGGAGGGTGGCTGGCTGGGGATGCTGGTCCCAGGAGCTGAGGATCCTGAAATAAGTTCTTGGGGTTTGGCTAGGGAGATGGAGGTAACAGTGCCAAAGGGGCAGGCAGCAGGATACGGTGGGGAGGGGCATTTGCCAGCCTTGGGAAAGCCAGCTATCCTACACCTATCCAAAGAACGACCCATCCAAAGTGGTCAGCCCAGCACCCCCTCCATCCCCAAACTCATCAACAGCCTCTTACAGGAAGCCCTCCATGGCTGACAGTACTTTCCACAGGCTTTTTCTTACAGCCTGACGTTCCACCCCAAACCGCAGCTCCCAGGACAGGCCCACATTCTCCCCGAAACCCAACTATGAGCTCTCCAGAGTAGAGCCATGTCTCCCCTCTCAGACTTCCCAGAGCAGTATGGTGTCCTCACTTGGATTGGGGTTCCCAAAGGAAGGTGATCATCCCTCTGGTTTCCCCGCGGAGAAGTATCAGGGAGCGCCCATGTCTCAGGGACCTTCCCCAGGGACCATCTCCCCAGATTCAGAGGAGTCTGTGCCAGCTGCAGCACAGCATACCAAGGTCAGGTCTGCAGAGGAACCTCCTGGGCCAGGATGTCAATGAGGGGAGCCTGGGACCCCCCTGGGCTGTGAAGAGCCTCTGGGACGAGAGACGGAAGAACAAAAGCCAGCAATGGGAAGTGGGTTACAAGAGGCAGCGGGGGGCAAGGCTGTGGGGATAGCGAGAGGACTCCACTGCAGGCTGCTGCCCCCCCACCCCCACCCCGTGGGCGCGGACCAGGAGCCCAGGCTGAGCACACACCTCAGGATCTGGTGCTCCTGTCCGCTCCGTCCCTCCCCACCTCTCTCTGCCCATCTCTACTGAGGCCTCTCTCTTTTCAGAAGCCCCCTCAGGTCATCCCCCTGTGTCTCCGTCTCTCCCACCCCCACCCTCCTGGGACCTGCCCCTGCCCTCCTCCCAGTCCCCGCCTCTGGCAGCAGCTGGAGCACCATGCGGCGTGGGGGAATGACCGTGACATCCCTCCCACGGGCTGTGTGAGAGCCACTGCTTCCCTCCAGCTGGCGGAAGAGACTGCTGGGTGCTGGCTGGGAACCCCACAGCTGGGGACATCCCAGAGTCCCGCCCGGGCTCCCACAGACGCGCACTAGAACACGGCGCGCACCGCCCCTACCTCGGTAGGAGAGCCGCAGGCGGGGCACGCTGGGGCGGGGGCTGGGGCTGGGGCTGCCCCGGCGGAGGAGGAGGCCCCCCAGGAGGCACCAGATGGCCCAGGCCGAGGGGGCCATGCCGGGGAATCAAGGGCACCACGCCGCCGGCCGAGCTGCCCCGGGTCGCCCCGGTCCGCCGCTGCCTGCAGTCTGCCTCGGAGGCCGCCTGGCCTGACTCTTATAAGGGAGCGGCTCCACCCCGCAGGGCCAGGAAGGCAGGGGGAGGAGGGAGCAGGGGGAGGAGGGAGCAGGGGGAGGGCTCTCCCCACCCACCATCCACCTGCTGCGCCTCTCTCCACCCTGACAGGCCTGGTTAATGCCTCTGTGTCAGATTGGCTGATTTCCCATCGGGGAGACTCTTTTCCGGCTGGGGTGTGGGAGGTTTACATGAAATGTCCACAAACCCAAGTCCCCAGGCTCCAAAAAAGTGTCAAGGGAGGGGGACAGAGCCTGGAAGAGAAGTCAGGGGTCAGAGATCTGAGGCTGGTGGGCTCGCTAGAGGTCTAGCTGAGCTCTCCTTTGCTCCAGGTCCTTCCATTAAGCATAACAGAGACCTCACGACAGAGGCAAACTGATTCTGGGCCCAGATCGCTGATGCCACGAGAGTCCAGCCCCCCTGAAGCACTGGCCTGGCTCCGTAGCTCCCCTGGCAGAGCCCAAGTTGCCTGGGAGGGTCATTCCAGTCCAAGGGACTCCATGCTTTGGGTGGGGGCTTGAAGCTTGGCCATACTTCACAGATCTGGGATTGGCAAGAGATGAGCCCAGCCTCCTCCACCCAAGCCTGTCCCTGTCTGGCCTCCAGGCCCCTTCCCAGCTCACTGGGGCAGAGGACAGGATGCACTCGGTGCTAGGAACTCCCCCGTTGCCCTTCAGCTGCCTCAATCACGCTGGACAACCAGAGCCCCAGGATCCAGGGTGTCACCTGGTGAGTGGTGGGTTCTTCCCAGAGTTCCCCTTTGCACACAGACCCTACACCAAGGATCCCTCCAGAGAGAGGGTGGAGGTAGGGCACTCACCCCCTCCCCCATTCCCTCTGCCCTGAGCACTGATTCAAGGGCAGGAGAGCCATAGAAGAGGGACACGGAGGAGAGGAGCCTAAGGGGTAGAATAGGGGCAAGAGAGGAGACCTCCTGTTGTCTCCCCAACCCACAACAACCCCAGTCTCTGTCCCCCACCCCAGCAGCTGCCACTCCACCCCCCACCCCCCAAAGCCCTTCACTCAGAATCTGAGGCTCTAGGCACTAAGATCTCAAACTTCAGCCAGAGTTGGAATTCCAAGGATTCTAGAAACTCCTGCAAGTGAGGCCTCCCAGATGGACCAGCCTGAGCCCTTAGATGGTGGTCAAGAAACTTGGAGGCGTCAGAGAGTGAAGGACCTGGCCCAGGCCACACAGCAGGCTGGCAACAGGCCTTGCTCAGCCCTGCCCCTTCCTGGGAATTTCTTTTTCTTGTGGGACTACTGAGGTACTGGGATCCTGCCTCCCCCACCCCCATCTCATCCCTGGAAGGGAAATAGGTTGGCTCCTTGAGTCAGCATGAGAAGGACCCAGGGACCTGGAACCTCATCTCCCTGTCTCCATCTCCCTCTGCCACTTGCATGCCTCCTCCCAGCGGGTCCTGACCTGGCATTGGACCAGGGACTACTCAAGGAGGCCCAGGACTAGCATCAGCCCAGCCCAGCCTCTGGCTCCTCCCAGAAATTTGGTTAAAGCCCTCCCCTCTTTGGGCCTCAGTCCCCTGCTTCCATGACCAGGGAGCAACCACCTTGGAGGTAGCAGGCTCTACACTACTGAGGTGTGCTTGTACAGGGGCTGCCGTGGTGGTCATTATGTCATGGGCCCTCAGAACGGTGGAGCCCCTCTGCCTCCATCTCCCTGGGGAGGAGTTCCAGCCTTCAGACTGGGCTGAGGGCCAAAGCCTGGCTGCAGATTGAGCCTGACAGCCCCTCAACTAGCATGTGGCCACCAGCTGTGAGCAGGAGGCCCAACAACTCCTCAGTCTGCTAGCTCACCCTGGGGGTCTCAGCCCAGCTGGGGCTGCAGGGAGGCCTGTGTCTATTGGAGCAGGATGTGCAGGGCAGCCCACCCCACATTACAGAAAAACAACCTGCAGCAGGGTCTGAGAGCCCCAATTCTATTGTGAACTTGTTGTGTGGCCTCAAGCAGGTCTTCTCCCTCTTTGTGCCTCGTTTTCCCCATCAGGGAGGCGGGTAAGGATCTTCCACGAAGGTCCCTGCTTACTGGGGGCCAGTTGGAAACAGACCCCAGGTAGCCTTGCTACGGAAGATCAAGGGGCCCAGCCACAGGCATCTTGTGCCATCTAATGGGCAAAGAGGGAACTGCAAGAGGTCCAAAAGGGGCCACTGTGTCAAGGCCCCTGTGCCGGTCAGTGGGACCACCCAGCGGAGATCAAAGTCTCGGGGCAGCAGGGAGTAACTAGACAACCATAATATGAAAAGGCAAGAGCAGTCAGAAGGAGACTCCAGCGGTTGCTTCTGATCAAGAGATCAAGGGAGCCTTCATGGAGGAAGCACTATGTAGGCCAAGGGTGACTAACCCAGAAAAAATGAAGAGGACTGAACACACAGCAAAACAGTCGAAATAGGTGATGCTTGAGGGGAGCTCAGCGCTCTGTGCTGGTGGGAGTTTGTGAGCCCTTGGCTGCATACATGTGTGATGTGTGTGCTCATGCATCAGGTGGGTATGTGGAGGGTCACAGCTCAGCCTCTCCCAGCTAGAATTCTGGGGTGAGCATGCCTGGAAGGAGTAGATGACTCTAGTTCTTCCCCCAACCAATCTCATCCTGGAAAAGAGACACCAGTACAATGGTACAGGCTCCCCTCCTTGTGGACCCCTCTTTAAGGCACAACCCATCCCCATATATCCTCTTTTTAAAAAAGACTTTACTTATTTATTCATGAGAGAGGCAAAGACATAGGTAGAGGGAGAAGCAGACTCCCTGAGGGGAGCCTGACGCCGGACTCCATCCAAGGACCCCGGGATCACGACCTAAGCTGAAGGCAGATGCTCAACTACTGAGCCACCCAGGTGCCCCATCCTCCTGTTTTGTTCACAGAAAGCTTCACTCTTGGAGTTTCTCTCTTCTCCTTTCCCGATCCCAACAACAGCCCACATCCCCCGGGTGCCCCCAATCATCCTCACTGACAACCACTTCCTCCTCCCCTACCTCAGCCACCTGTCCTCTGGCTCACCACTGATAGGGATGTGACCTTTGGCATCTCCGTTCAGGACATTCCTTCCCCTGAACACCCCGACCTGTGCTGAGTATCCCCCACAGCCACAGTTCTTCCCTCATGCCTTCAGCCCCATTCTCCTTACCCAGCTTGGATCCAGGCCCTTAAAACATTCCCCAGAGACCCAAGGCTGCTCACCTTCTGCAACCTTGGCCCTGCATCTTTTATCACCCTTTGCCAGCTGCACTGGGTTGTTCTTGAGCATTCCCTGCCCCACCTCCTCAAACAAGCGTCCCTGGATTCCACATCTCCCTGCAGCTAAAGCGCTTTTCCTGTAAAACTGCACCATGTTTGTCCAGATCACCATCTCCCCTTTACCTCCACTCACTCCTTTGGTCGTCTCCAGTCGGGCTCCTATCTCACCTATCCCACTCCAATGAAACCCTCATGTCCAGGTGGCCCAGGCATCAGGGGCCTCCAGGTCCCTAACCCCAGGGCATCCAGCTGCCTTCAAAGTGTCCATCCCTCCTCTTGGCTCCCAGGGTCCCTCACTCACTCAGGGTCCCCCCCCCCGGGATCTCTATATCTCGTCTCCTGGACTACTCACATGGGATGCCCAGTGTCCAGTCCTGGGCCCCCCTCTCTCTATACTTCCTCTTCCCAGGGGCCTCATCCAGGACCAGGGCTGGGAAAGCCCTTCTCACTCTGATGACACCTGACTTTATAGCGTTCTCTCTGCCCCCACAGTTCCAGCCCTGCTTTGCCATCCTCACTACCCTATCCCAGAGGCATCTCAGCTTTTGACATGCACAAAGGACTCCCCATCTATCTCTTCTCTGATTGTCCCACCAGAAACATGCTTCCTTCAGGATCCCTGACCACTCTTATTTCGTGGCCCCCACATCTCTATAATCCCCGTTCCAGTACTACATTGGTTTCCTCACTACACTCATCATCACCCTCTTGTCTTCCTGAGTTGATGATAATTTCATGGAATGAGGGACTGGGCCTCCCTCTGAAGGGTTCCAGCATCCAGCCCATGCCAAGCATGTGGTAGGTATGTGACAAGTGCAGATGGGCTCACGGTGGCCCTGCCTCCTCTCATGGGATATTGTCATTAGACGGTGTACATGTAGGTCCTTGAGTTTTCCAGCTCCCAAGGGCAGGCCCAAAGGGACCCCTCAGCTCTCCCAGAGGCCTCTCCAGGGACCGGGCAGCTCCTGTGGCTCTGGCCTCCACTGGAGGCATCTCCAGAATTCCAAGACTGTCTCCGGAATGCTGGGCCTGTCTGCGGAATGCTAAGGCTGGGGCACAGGTGGAGAGGCCTTGGAGTGGCTGGGTGGAGTGAGGACAGCTGCTGGCATTCTGGATGGAGCCTACACACCGTGGCAGCTGTCGCTCCTGCTAGCACCGCTGCTGACACCTCCACATCCTTGCTGCCCCCTCTCCAAGGCCAGTGCCACTGTTCTGGCTGCAGATCCAGCCCCTACTAAGCTGAGAGCCGCCAAGCCTCATACTTGCATTCTATCAGGGAGGAAAAGTGGGCTGCTGGGGCCTCTGGGTCAACTTCAGGGTCAACTAGAAATTATGCCTGTCTGGACCTGACTCATCATTCAGAGCTCCGGGCGGGGAGCCAGGTGGCTCTATTCTCCGCCAGACTCACTGGATGACCTTGACAGGTCCCTGCACCTCTCTGGGCCCTAGGGTCCTCATCTGGCAAATGGGTGAATGGAAGGAGAGTAGATGGTGTGTGCCTTAGTCCCAGAGAATGTGTCACCAGCGTGAAATGCAAGTGAGTGGGCATATGGACTAGTGCTACAGCTTACTGAGCCCCTATAGCACCCAGCTTCTCTGCAACCAGCGCTGAGAAGATGCTGGGCTGCCACACAGAGTGGCCTCCAGGGCCTAGCAGGGTGCTCTGCTCTCTCCAAGCACAGGACCTCTCAGCTACCAACTGGTGGTCAAAGCCACAGCCCCCAGGAGCCTGTTAAAAGTAGATTCTGGGCCAACTCTACATGCTGAATCTCTGGAGATGGGGCCTGGGCATAGGCAAGCATAGAAAAGAGCCAGGAGGCCATGGGGCATTGTAATCTCTAGCCAAATCTAACCCCTCTGACAGAAGATCGTGTACAGGGATGGGTGGAGCATAGGCTCTGGGATATGGCAGGTAGTGGTCATTAGAGCAGCAGTGGGCCCTGGTGAGGCATCCACAGCCCCCTGGGGAATGAAAGCTGGACACCAGGCCTCCAGGGAGCAGGGCTTTATTTGCATTCCCTCGGATGGGGCTGGGGGAGGCTGTCAGGGAGGGCCCATGGTCGAGGACACACCCAAGCTCACATCCTGGGGACCCCGGCCCCTTGCCGCCACCCCAGGGCCCAGCTGGAGTTGGATGGTGGCACAGGCAGTTCTGCGTGGGTGATGGTATCTACTCCACTCCTTTCATGAACTCCAGGAACTCTGTGGAGAGATGAGTAGACCTAGGTCAGAGAAGAGGTCTGGGCAAGGTGTGGGCAAGGAGGGATCAAGGGCACTGCCCCCCCTCACCGTCATAGTCAATGCGGCCATCATTGTTCTTGTCACCATCCTTCATTAGCTCCTCAATGTCATCTTCCGTGATGGTCTCACCGGTAGCCTGAAGCATCACCTTCAGCTCATCCAGGTCTATGTAGCCATCAGCATTTCTGTGCCGGGGGTGGGGATGTGAAGGGGACCTCAGAGCTCATGGTGTGGGCCAGAGGAAGGGAAGAAGCCCCACCCATGATACCAGGAGGCAAGGCAGGGCCAGCACTGAAAATGGGGTGGGACATCCCATTTTCCCATTGCACAGAGTGGGAAACTGAGGCCTTGAGGTCACAAGACTGTCCCCCTTTCCCCACCTCTGCAAGAGTCAGGTCAGAGGTCCTGGGTCATGCACTCACTTGTCAAACATGCGGAAAAGGTCGGACAGCTCCTCCTCAGACTTTCCTTTGCTGTCATCCTTCATGCACCGAACCATCATGACCAGGAACTCATCAAAGTCCACTGTGCCACTGCCTGCAAGGTGAGCGGCCCAGCCATCAGTGAGGGATGGTTAGAATGCTCTTGACACTAAACCCCTGTGCTCTTGCTGCGTGCATTCTCTCTCTTTTTAAAAATATTTTATTTATTTATTCAAGAGAGACAGAGAGAGAGAGAGAGGCAGAGACACAGGCAGAGAGAGAAGCAGGCTCCCTGCAGGGGAGCCTGATGAGGGACTCGATCCCGGGACTGCAAGACCATGCCCTGAGCCAAAGGCAGCCACTCAACTGCTTAGCCACCCAGGTGCCCTGCTGCATGCATTCTCATAGCAACTCCGTGAGACGAGTGTGGTCATTATATCCATTTCAGAAGATGACACGATTGAGGCTCAGAGAGGTTAAAGGTTCCTTCGAGGGCACAGAGTAATAAGTGGCGGAGCCAGGATTTGGGGCCCAAGCACTGGAGGCTGATGTGGGTCTAGGGTCTGGGGGGCAGGGGGCTCACCGTCCTCATCCACCTCGTCAATCATCTCCTGCAGCTCCTCGGGTGTGGGGTTCTGGCCCAGCATCCTCATCACCTTGCCCAGCTCCTTGGTGCTGATGCAGCCATCTTCGGCGCCCAGCACGAAGATGTCAAAGGCTGCCTTGAATTCTGTGTCCAAAGGGAAGGAGGGGGAGATAGAGTGGTCAGGGCTCAGAAGCCAGGATCCCAGAAGGCCAGACCTCTGGGGCCATCTGCCAACTGCCTGTTTCCCTCCAAGACCTCTGAGGTTGTGGTGAGAGGGACCCTGGCCTTGGGGGTCCTCATGCTCCCCCAGCCTGGCCCTGTCGCACCCCCACATATGTTGGAGTACTCACCATTTTTCTGCTCTTCTGTCAGCTGTTCTACCTGGAGAGAAAAAGAGGTCTCAGGACTGATTCAGGACTTGGCTGCTATTAAGGAAATCAACCCATTCCACAGATGGGGAAAGTGAAGCCAGGAAGAGGCAGGCCATTCCCAGGTCACAGTCCTCAGTCCTCACTCCCTGTCCCCCAAAGTCCTGAGGTGACCCAGCTGGCCTCACTGAGGCTGGGCTTAGGGCCAGGGTGACAGGTGGGCACCCCTTCCAGGGCCAAGGTGACCCCGAATAACAATAGTCAGTGACCACTCAATGCCCTTTCGGCTCCCCTGCTGAAATCCAAGCTGGGTGGCCTGAGGGACAGCTGTCCCTCAGGTTGGGACAATAAAACCAGTGTGGGGATGGGTAAAGCCACCCACTGTAACCTGACCGGGACAGCCACTGGGCTATTTTTAACGGGGGACAAAGTTAAACCTGGTGATTGTTCTGGGGACTCTGGCATGCAGGGGGTGGGGCAGCATTATCTGGCCCCCTGGCCTGCTGGTGCCTCAGGAGCCAAAATTAGTCCCCAGCCCCACCAGGCCTTGTATGGGCACAGGGTGGAGGGCTGTTCCCTCCCCCGCCAGCTCTGTGGACTCCTGTAGGACAGGCAGGGACAGCCCCAGAGTCAGCTCTAGCTCTCCCCTGCCCAGAAGTGAGGTTGCACTCCCAGGGCTGAGGGAGGGGTTCCCTTGGGGACAGTTGTCTATGCCGAACATCCTTGCCTCTGGGACAGGGGGAGGTCAGCAACACCCCCCTTCTCCTGGGAGGGACTAGTATCTGAGGCCCCTCAGTGACCCTAGGATGCTGCAGGGACTCGGGGTGACCACTCTCCAGCCCTCACCCCTGGCTAAACCACTGACCCCTGAGCCCTCCAGGCCTGATGGGGGTGGGGGCCCTAGTTCTTGATTCCTTTTTCCCTGTGTCTCCCCCATGCTTAGCGCTTCCCTGCCTACCTCAAACTTCTAAGCCCCTTTTCCAGCTCAGGATTCTGGCTCACCAGCCCCCTTCTCAAACTGTCCCACCCTCCACAGCATCTTCAGCCATCCAAGGAGCTGGAGGTGAGGGGGGGGAGGGTGAGGAGCAGAATGTGAGGGGCAGAAACGGAGAGGGGGATGAGGTGGTGACAGGGAAACAGAAGCAGAGACTCAGAGGGACAGCTAGGAGGAACAAAGAGATAGAAAGAGACTGATAAAGGCAAAGATCCAAAAACCACAGGCACAAGTGAAGGGAGATGTAGCTGGAAGATAGTGACACAGACTACAGACACTTGGAGACAGGGGCAGACTAAAAGTTATGACCTCTCCCACCCTCCAAAAAGCTCCTCTCCAGACCTTGAACCCCTCACCCTAAACCCCTCACTCCTTCTACACCCTGGAATTAGAATGCCAGATCCACCATCCATCCCCTTGAGGGCCTGGGCTGAAAGTTGCATGGGCCCTCTCCCAGGTCCCCACTACCTTTGTAGGGTGACCTCACTCCCCATCGTGAGTTGAGTGAGGCCCCAGTGGGCCCATCCACCCCAGCCCTGCCCAGCCCAGTCCCTCACCGCAGCCTTGTAGATGTCATCCATGCTGGCGGCTCACAGGGCAGGCTGCTGGGGTTGCCAGCCAGCCCTGGGCTTAAATAGCCCTGCCCCACCTCATTCCCTGCCGGCCCAGCCCATCCCAGCCTGCATTATCCTCCACCCCCTCCCCCAGCCCTGGTGATCTCAGGCTGGCCTGAATCCCTGTGTCCTCTGCCCAGTGCAGGGAGCAGATGAAGGGCTGCAAAAGGACCACATCTTTTTCCCTCTGTCCCCCATGGTTCCCAGGGGACTCTGGAAAGTCTTCTTGAATGAAAGAAAACATGAGCCAAGAACAGGACAGGTGCTGAAAAATAGTGGGCCCAGGGCCAGGCCCCTACACACAGGAGTTCAATTCTTATCCAATCAGGAAGATGGGTAATATCATTCCCACTTTTCAGATGAGGAAACTCCAGCTCCTGGAGGGCTGGTGATCTGTTCGGAATACGTCTGACTTGGCAGCCCCCGTCTTAAGCTAAGCCTGTTGCGGAGGGAGGGTGCTGGCCAGCAGTATGCAGCAAAGAGAGGCCCTTTCAAGAGAAGCTTTGAATGCCAAGCTCAGAGTATGGCGTTGTGTAACCATTGAAGAAGGAAGTCATTCACCCACATTAGCACAGAGTGCTCCGGAGCCCTTGGGCCCGGGGGTGTCAGAGCATCCATAGCCAAGACCTCTCATCTCCCCAGGGAGAACAGCACTAGCTCTGGGTGTGGGTAAGCTGCATTTGGTCATTCAGTGCACACATCTACAGATGCCCCATCCGTGCTAGACTTTTTCCCTTCAGCTGGGCTACCATCCCCCTCTTCCAGGTGGGGGTCTTCCCCTGGGTTAGGGCTCCATCTCTGTGTCTGTGCTTCCCCATTCCAGTACTATAGTTCCTAGGTCCAGGGCCAGCCTGTGAGCCAGCCCCTCCTTCCGGGCTCTCGGGGACTTGCGCTCCACGGCCAGCACCCATCCCTCCCTTCCACCCACCTGCGGAGCCCCGTCTCCATAACCACACCAGCTCCCTGCCTTGAGTGCCGGGCACTGCGTGGATTAGTCCCATACGGTACAGGAGGTCTCCAAGTCCTGGAGGCGTTAACAACTGGCGCCAAGTTACTGTGTCCAGCTCGGGCTCCGCGCACAGCTCGTAACTTCAATCCTCCCGTGCGCGCCCTGCGGAGGATGAGCCTGAGAGCCAGGCGAGGGGCGACGGCTGACTCTTGTTCTGGAAGGGGAAACTGAGAGCGGGCGGAGCGGTGACTTCCTTCGGGTGGCCCGGGAGGCGCGGGGCGTTCGGTCCTCGCTCGCCGGGCGCAGAGCCGTCCCCGCCCGGCGCCTCGGCCCTTCTGGGGGTCCGCGCTCGGGCCTCTGCGGTCTGCGCACGCGCGCTGCTGGCGGCTGCTGTCAGTTACGCGCGGGGGGCGGGGCGGGGCGGGGCGGGGCGGAGGCGGGGGGCCAAGATGGCGGCGGCGCGCGCGGCGGGGGCGGGGGCGGGGGGCGGCGGGGCCCAGGGGGCGGCGGGACGCTGACCCCGCCCCCTGCTGCTGCCAGTCTGCGCCCGGCGGCGGCGGCGGCGGCGGCGGCGGCGGCGGCGGCGGCGGCGGCGGCGGCGGCGGCGGCGGCGGCGGCGGCGGCGGCGGCGGCGGCGGCGGCTGCGGCAACGGAGCCCGGAACATGGCGGCGGCGGCGCGCAGCTTCGGGCCCGAGCGGGAGGCCGAGCCGGCCAAGGAGGCGCGTGTCGTGGGCTCTGAGCTCGTGGACACGTACACGGTGTGCAGGGGGCGCGGGCGCCGGGACTGGGGGTGGCGGCTGGACCCCGGAGCCCGGGTCGGGGGGCGCTGCCCGGCCACCGGGGAGGAGCGGGTCCGCGGAAGGGGTGCGTAGGCCCCGCAGGCCCGGGAACGGGGCCCTCGGTGCGCCCGGGGAGGGGCTGGGCGCGGGGGTGGGGAGGCTCTGGGGGTGAAGGGGTCTGCGGGAGCCGGGGGTCCTCCGGATAGCTCGGCCTGGAGGGGCGCCGGCCCGGGAGGACGGCCGGGGGCGGGGTGCTCGGAGCCCCGCGGGCCACGAGGAGCGGGCAGCGGGGCCCTGATGGGGCTGGAGGTCGCGGGTGAGATTCGCTCCAAAAAGGAGGTCAGGCTGAGGCCAGAATGCGGGGCGAGTGGGGCCGTGACACGGGGGGATTGAGGGCCTCTCCGGCCGGAACCTGCGGGGTCTTCGTGGCTTTGGGCGGAGGGAGCGCGTCGGGGCCGCAAGCCGCCCACACACTTCAGGCGGTGGGGGAGGTGGAGGACAGAAAAGGGGGGTGGAGCTCCCGACGGTGATGGAGTCGGGAGGCTCTTCTGGATCTGGATGGGGTTGGTCGCCAGGCTTGTGGGCCTCGTAGGCTCCTGGCAGGGACTGGCCTCGGGGTGGGGCGCACGGAGCATCTCTCAGCCTCCTGTTCTTTGTTCCCTGAGGGTGGGAAGTGTGGAGGGGGGGGCTTTGGCCTTGCCTTCACCCCACCCCCTTGGCCCTCATCCTAACCCTCCTCCTGAGGGTCATTTCTCTGGCTCTTTTTCCTTTCCTGGGCGGCAGGAGGGGGAGGGAAGCTGCCCGGCTGGGAAGAGGGGCTGGGGGCGGATCCTGGAGCAACAGGCCAGCCCTGGAGAAAGGGCTGCTCTTCCTTGGAGGCTTCAGTCGATTTGAGGATTTCTCCTCCCCCTTCCCTGCGTGCTGCAGAGAGGGGCGGGACCGTGGAACCAGGGGACCTTTCCAGGTGAGGGTTGAGGTCTCGGAGCTGTGGCTGACTGGCTGTCACCCACAAGCAGCATTCAGCTGGGATGTCAGCTCCAAAAAGCCCTCCCTGTTTTTCTAGGCTGAGCCCTTCCTCTGCATGGGTACCAGGCAAGTGGTGATCCAGGCTGACCCTACAGTTTGTCTCCCAGCGTGCTGATTATTATATTATTAACACACCTCTTGTGGAACACTTGCTGCATGTCAGGCCTTGTACAAAAGCATTTTGCATGGATTACTTTGTTCAGTTACTAAACCTATCAGATTTTAAGATGGAGAAACTGAGGCTCAGAGAGTTTAAGCTCCCAGTTACTTACATAAGCCAACCAGGAAATGGCAGAACCAAGTTTTGAAGTTGGGTCTTTCTGGCCTCCGGGGCCCATTCCCCTAACCCACTAAGCCAGATTGCCCGTCACTAGGTCTTGATTGTTCCCCTGCCCTCCAGTCGGCTTCTTAGTGCTTTGACTCTGGGCTCAACAGCAGAAATCCTAGCCAGGAACCAGCTGAAAGCATTGGAAAGGGTCTGGGTTCTAGGAGATAGGGCAGCTGGAAAAATAGCCGAGAAGCTAGTCCTACCAGACCCCACCCTGTTCTGCCTCTCTTGGAAGGGGTGGCCTTGCCTGCAGCTCAGGTAGGAGGCTGGGAGTAAAAAAAACTAAAGAGATGGCTTAATTAGATGGTTACTTTTTTTGTTTCTCACTTTTGGATAGAGCCTCAGATTGATGCCATGTGCCTGCCAGCTGGTGCTAGGGCCATGGAGGAAGCTGAGAGAGGGTCCTGCTGCTTTGCAGGAATCCACACAGAGGCTAGTGGGCAGGGGCAGCCTAACTTTGGCCTGGGGGTTGGAATGGTCTGGGGTGGCCTGCAGCTGTTGTTGAGGGAAAGACGGGGCTTTCCTTGTCGCTGGCTGGGCAAGGACTGTTGGTTTTCCCTTGTAGGTTTACATCATCCAGGTCACCGATGGTAGCCATGAATGGACAGTCAAGCACCGCTACAGCGATTTCTATGATCTACACGAAAAGGTAACGCTGGAGAACTAGGAATCTGTGTCTCAGGGCTTGGGGGGCTTTTAGGCCGAATTTCTATTGTGCCACACATTAAATTTAGGGCAGAACTGGCTCCATGCCTATAATGTTCAGTTTCCCGGGGAGGGAACAGGTTTAAACTTGGTTCACCTGACCGTAGCTCTTCCAGAGCCTATACTTGAATATCTGGGTGTGATTCCATTTCTTTCTTTGCTTTTGGAGAGAGCCACCTCTCTCCAGGTCATTTGCAACATGAGTATTTTAAAGACACGCCACTGCCCTGATTGGTTTTCATTCTGGTTTGGAATTCCAGATGGTGGTTTTTAGGGGCCTGGAGGTATTTTCTGAATGTCTCTCCAGTCTCCAGATGGAGCTCCTGGTCTGGAATTATCCTGGTATTCTACTATTAATTGAATCTGATGAGGCCAAATTCCAGATACACTGGTTGGATCACTAATTCTGATACTCCTGCCAGGAGGGGTTGTGGGAGTTGTGATGAGCACCTGTCCCTGGGCTGCTTGCCTTGATCCTGCACCATCACAGAACCTCTTGGTCTGTGGTTGACCACACTTCTGTTTTCTTACAGCTGGTTGCAGAAAGGAAAATTGATAAAAATCTGCTTCCGCCTAAAAAGATAATTGGGAAAAACTCAAGAAGTTTGGTGGAAAAAAGGGAGAAGGATCTGGAGGTCTACCTGCAGACACTCCTGGCCACCTTCCCTGGCGTGGCCCCCAGTGTGCTGGCCCACTTCTTACATTTTCATTTTTACGTAAGTTCCTCTCCAGTTTTCTCCTATAAGCCCACAACCGCTGAGCTCGAGGCAGCAAACCAGTGTAAGCCTCAGCTTTCAGGAGAGGTGGCCTGAGTTTGACCCTGAGGCTAGAAGATGTAGGAACATCACCCTGGTGGGGATGAGATGTGGGCAGAATTGAGTTTATTGACAAGTTTACTCACAGACTGTAGCCACAGGGAGGTTTCCTTTTACCACATGGCATCTTGTTTAGCACAAACAGCCTGTGGGTGTTTAAGCTGGTTTTCGGAATGGATGGGGGTATGTGGAAACAGCTGACACCTGGCAGGAGTATGGCTTCATTGTTGGTTTACGTTGTTGGTTCACAGATCGAGACTAAGGAGTCAGCCTGTGTTGGCAGGATTTGGCCAGCTGAGGGCATCTTCAGGGTCCAAGGTGCTGGTCATTGGTAGATAGACCCCAGGGGGAGTGTGTGTCCTGGAGCGGCTCTGCACTCCCTTGGATGGAGAGACAACTTTCGTGGGCTGCCGGTAACAGGATGAGTTGTCACACTCACAGAGGGAAGTTTGGCTTTGTGAAACTCAGATTTTGAAAACAGCTAACAATTCTGCTTCTGAGAATTTATTCTAGGGGGAAAGCAATCAGGCAAGTGTGAAAAGGATGTAGGTATGTTCCAGGATTGTGGCAAAATACTGAAGACAAAGTCCAACAGGAGGGGCGTCTGGGTGGCGCATTCATTTGGGGAACACACTTGTGGTTTTGGCTCAGCTTAGTGATCTCAGGGTTGTAGGCTCAAGCCCCGCATCAGGCTCTGTGCTCAGCAGGGAGTCTGCTTGGGATTCTCTCTCCCTCTCCCCCTGCCTCTCCCCAACCCTTAAATTAAAAAAAAAAAAAAAAAATTAAGTCTAATAGGCTTTTTTTTTTTTTTTTAATTAAGGTGGACAACCATGTAATCGGTTCTGCCAGAAAATGATGTAGCTGTGGATTTGTTGGCAGGAAAATAAGTATGTTTTATATGGAACGAGGATGCTATAAAATAGTATATAGAACATGGTTCCATTTCTACGAAAAGAAGTTAATGTGTGTGTATTTGTCTAGGAAAATTCGAAAGATCACACACTGCAGCACTAGGAGTAGTTAATCTCTGAGTGATTTTCGGATGAATTGACATTTAATTGTTTTCCTTTTATGTGATGAAGATATGAAAGAATCCACTCCATTTTCAGGCTCATCCTTTAGAAAGGGACCTGCGGGTTGTGGTCTTAGGGCTAAAATATGTTTACAGTACAACTGTCTTGAAGTACTTCCAGAGTAAGACAGTCAAACCGTTTTTGGAGTGCTAGATAGAGCCTGGAAATTTGGTTGATGACACTAGCATTGGGTCACTAAGCCTGGAGGGGCTGTGAAAGACGAGTGGCATTTACAGATGGGTTGTATCTATGTATATGCTCTGGATTTCATTCAGCATATACCAGCAACTGTGTAGTTAGCAGTTTCCTGTTGTGGATTTTTTCTTTTTTTTTCTTTTTCTTTTTTTTTTTTTTTAACATTTTCTTTCCTTATGTGAGGAAAGATTTCCTTGTGTGAGTCTTTCAGATAAACTTTACTGGTTAGTATTTTAGGAGATGCTGTTCTTTTTAAAGATTTTATTTATTTAATCATGAGAGACATACAGAGAGAGAGAGAGAGAGAGAGGCAGAGACACAGGCAGAGGGAGAAGCAGGCTCCGTGCAGGGAAGTTGACGTGGGACTCGATCCCAGGACTCCAGGATCATGCCCTGGGCTGAAGGCAGGTGCTAAGCCGCTGAGCCACCGGAGACACTGTTCTTTAAGAAAGCTTTGGTTAGCCGTTTAAGGTTAAAACTTAATAAGCAGCCCTTTGAAAGTATAATTCATTGCTTAAGACCTCAGTCTTTGAGAAGCAGGTTTGCCCAGCTCTGAGCATGAAAAGGCCTGGACTGCTCTTCTGAGATAGGTTTGTCCGAGGTGGGCCTGGGCCAGCCCACATCTGAGGTTCTCGTTTGCGGCATGCTCTATTGCTTGGAACAGTTCGGATATGATGAAATTACTGTTATCAGAAGGATCCCTTCTGATATATAAGATCCTCTGGGTTATAAATCCAAGGATTTTTTTTTTTTAAAGATTTTATTTATTTATTCATGAGAGACAAACAGAGAGAGAGAGAGGCAGAGACACAGGCAGAGGGAGAAGCATGTCCCATGCAGGGAGCCCAGATCAGGCCCTGGGCTGATTTCGGGCTAAACTGCTGAGCCACCCGGCCTGCCCCAAATCCAAGGATTTTTAAAAACTAACTGACCCATCATTAAATTAAATCATGGTTTTTCAACCATGCACTATTGACATTTTGGGCTGGAGAATGGTGAGGACTGCCCCATGCATCATTCAGCAGCAGCATCTCTGGCCTCTACCCAGTGGCTGCCAGTAACCACCCCAGGTTGTGACAACCAAAATGACCTGCACATCATCAAATATCCCCGTGAGGAGCAAAATCGCACCTGATTGAGAACCACTAGATCTTCAGAGGGAGTTTGAACAAACAAGGCCTAAAAGATTTGTCAGCCTTTCCTACAGGCTGGGAGTTCTTAGGGATTATTTCTGCCAGCCTTTGTCCCATCAGTATCCTCTCTGAAATTATTCCTAACATGTTCCAACCCTTATGGGGCTGACATTGGATGGGGTGGACTCCAGGAACCCTGCTTGTCTGGAGTGTGGGTTTTTTTCTTTTCTTTAATAACGATTAATTTACATATCCTAAAATTCACTATTTTAAAATATACAATTCCTGGGGTACCTGGGTAGCTCAGTTGGTTAAGTGACTGACTCTTGATTTCAGCTCAGGTCATGATCTCAAGGTCCTGAGATCCAGCTCAGTGGGACTCTGGCATGCGCTCTCTCTCTTGCATGCTCTTTCTCTCTTAAACGCTCTTGCTCACTCTCACTCTCTCTTGCTCTCTCTTACTCTCCCTCCTCCCTCCCTCCCTCCCTCCCTCCCTCCCTCCCTCCCTCCCTCTGCTTGCACGCACATGTGCTCTCTTTTTCTCTCTTTCAAAAAAATTTTTAAATATTTTATTTATTCATTTATGATGGGCATAGAAAGGGGGGGGCAGAGACAGAGGCAGAAGGAGAAGCAGGCTCCATGCTGGGAGCCTGACGTGGGACTTGATCCCGGGGCTCCAGGGGCCAAAGGCAGGCAAACCGCTGAGCCACCCAGGGATCCCCTCTCTTTCAAATGTTTAAAAAAAAAAAAAAAGACACTTGAGTGGCCCAGTGGTTGAGCACTTTGGCTCAGGGCTTGATCCTGGAAGTCCCACATCAGGCTCCCTGTAGGGAGCCTGCTTCTCCCACTACCTGTGTCTCTGCCTCTCTCTGCCTCTCGCGAATAAATAAATAAATAATATATTTTTTTATTTTATTTTTTTTAGATTTATTTATTTATTCATTCAGAGAGTGCGAAGAGAGGGAGAGACATAGGCAGAGGGAGAAGCAGGCTCCATGCAGGAAGCCCTATGTGGGACTCCATCCTGGGTCTCCAGGATCACACCCCAGGCTGCAGGCGGCTGCACCACCGGGACTGCCCAAAATATATTTTTTAAAAGATATGAAGTATACAATTCCCTGGTTTTATTTATTTATTTATTTTTAATTCTCTGGTTTTAGTATATTCACAGAGTTGTGCAGATATTACCATTGTCTAATTTCAGAACATTCATCACTCTGAAAAGGAACTGTGTACCCATCAGCAATCACAAATGTACTTTCTGTCCCCACATATTGGCCTGGCCTGGACATTTCACATAAATGGAGTCATATAAATGTGGCCTTTGTGATGGGCTTTTTTCCCTTAACATGATGCTTTCAAGGTCCATTTGTATTGTGCTTTGGTCCTTTTCTGCCTGGGTAATTTCTGCTGATCAGATATAGGACATTATCCATCAGTTGATGGATGTTTGGGTTGTTTCCACCTTTTGGCTAGTACGAATAATGTTGCTGTGGACATTCATACATATGGTTTTGTGTGGACCTATGTTTTCCTTTCTATTGAGTATACATAAAGAGTGGAATTGCTGGGTCATATGGTAACGTTAGCTTTTTGAGGAACTGCCAAATTTTTCTCCATAGTGGCTGCACCATTTTCCATTTCCATTAGCAGTGTGCAGGTTCTCATCTCCCCACATCCTTGTCAAACTTGTTACAGTCAACTTTTTTGACAGCTATCCTAGTGAGTGTGATGTGGTATCTCGGGGTGCTTTTGTTTTGCATTTCCTTAATGAGGTTCAGCATGGATGAAAGACCTAAATAAAAGAGCTAAAATGGGATGCCTGGGTGGCTCAGCGGTTGAGCATCTGCCTTCGGCTTGGGCATGATCCCAGGTCCAGGGATCGAGTCCTACATCAGGCTCCCTGCGAGGAGCCTGCTTCTTACTCTGTGTCTCTGCCTGTGTCTCATGAATAAATAAATAATCTTTAAAAGAAAAAAAAAAAAGAGGGATTCCTGGGTGGCGCAGCGGTTTGGCGCCTGCCTTTGGCCCAGGGCACGATCCTGGAGACCCAGGATCGAATCCCACATCGGGCTCCCGGTGCATGGAGCCTGCTTCTCCCTCTGCCTGTGTCTCTGTCTCTCTCTCTCTCTTTGTGTGACTATCATAAATAAATTAAAAAAAAATTGAAATCAGGATGGAACTTTTTAAGATTTTGTTTATTCATTTGTGAGAGAGCAAGCAAGTGAGCTGGAGGAGGAGCAGAGGGAAAGGGACAAGCAGACTTTGTGCTGAGTGTGCAGCCTGATGGCAGGCTTGACCTGATGACCCCAAGATCATAACCTGAGCCAAAATTAAGAGTTGGCTGCTTAACCAACTGAGCCACCCAGGTGCCCCAAACTGTTACTATCTTAACATCAGTCTTAGCATCCACCTCCATCCTTTGTCTCAGTTGTAAAGTGCTGAGGCTGTATGTAAGTGATAAAAGATTTCTCTGCAACTCACTTAATGGCTTATGGCCTTGAAGCTCTCGCCATTGAAACTTTAGGCTTCAATCTGTCAATAGTAATTTTTTACTTGAAGCCAAATTATGTATAAAATGTTCAATTCCTGTTAGAATGCCTCATCACAGTCATGAAATAAGAGTTATATAGCACCCTCACATACACACCCCGACCCTTAGCATATGTGTGTGTGAACCCTACAGTGACATGTGATTGAGTCCCTTGTTTGTGTCCCATTAAAAAGGACTGTGCTTGTGTGCCAAGTGGAAGTGTTGGGCTGGCCTGGGCTTATTTCTTGAGCATAGGCACGTTTGCTGTGGGGTGTACTTGGTCACAGGGCTCTGCTGCAAGGCCATGCTCAGAGTGGTAGCCGCTGATCTACAGCCCAACCAGTTCATGGTACATTTATGTGCAGCTCACACTGATGCCCAAGGGTGCACACCAGCACAGATCCTGGCAGGTGGCCAATTGATGGATCTATAACACATTTAGGGGTGGGTGTTAATGGTTTTTTAAGTGTTAGCTAATTTTATTTTAATTGAATTTTTTGAGGTATAAAGAATGCCTTTTTTTTAAAAAAAATACATCCTCAATTCAGACATTTGTGGCACCCCAAAGCACTTTGGGTCCCTTCAGTCCAGATTGCATGATCTCTGTGGGAGTCACCTGTTCCCACAGGTGACCTTCCAGCAGAATCTGCAGTGGCTTAGATTGGGGGGAGGAAGGGTGGGAACTGACTGCACACTTTTACTCTGTATGCAAGGATGGCTTAACCAGAACTCTTGAGGAGGCCAACAACAGGTTTCTCTTAGGAGACTGGTACTCTAGATTCAGGGGCCCAAGGAATCTATTTGTTCCTCGTTCAGGAAGTCTCCCCAGGTGGAGGCAAGCCTGGGAAACAAAGTAGGTAGTGTTGCAAAAGTAGACAGTGTTATAGCAGCTGGCTTCCTGTGCCGGAACAGCAGGGAAGCAGAGAAAGAAATTGTCACATAGTTTGCCTTTTAGATTGCTCAGAATTGAAAAACCTGCTCTCTGCTGAGCATGAGCCCTTGGCCCTTACTATCTTGCAGCTTTCTGTGTTTTCCGGAAATGCCAGCCTTGTCCCCTTAGCCGGTGCTGAGGCCAACTATCCAAAAACCCCCATAACATTATTAGGTGTGAATGGAGGGCAGGGAGCCCCTTCCTGAGGGAGTCCCAGTGTCACTAGCACGGGCCAGAGAGTTGTTGCTCCAGAACCTGCGTCTTTCAAGCTCACCAAGTGATGCTCACAGCAGCAGGCCAGGGAAGTGCTGACTTAGAGACCAGCCCCGGCACTTAAAACTGCTGGTAGAGAAAGGAGCCTTTGGATCATGCTAAGCTCTCCCTCATCTTCAGTTCTTCACTCCAGTCAGGGAAGCTATAATTGAGTTTAAGTTGTTGCAGGAGACTGAAGTTGAACTTGGGTCTCAACAGCGGAGAGCCTCTCCCCTCCCTGGCTGAAGCCCTCTCCTGCTCAGAGCCTTTGTTGTCTGACGGCCCCTTTGCATCTGACCCCTTTGCATCTGACCTCGGATCTTGCCAGACCCTGTGCTCCTTAATGCTGGGGCCCACATGTGCTCATTTTTCTCCCTTAAGCTTTTTGTGATGCTAAAGGGGAGTTATTCTCACACTATATGTAAACTGAATTATAAGCAGTTTAAAGAAATAAAAACATTTTTAGGGAATCCCTGGGTGGCGCAGCGGTTTGGCGCCTGCCTTTGGCCCAGGGCGCGGTCCTGGAGACCCGGGATCGAGTCCCACATCGAGTCCCACATCGGGCTCCCGGTGCATGGAGCCTGCTTCTCCCTCTGCCTGTGCCTCTGCCTCTCTCTCTCTCTCTGTCTCTGTCTCTGTGTGACTATCATAAATAATTTAAAAAAAAAAATTTAAAAAAAATAAAAAACATTTTTAAAAGCTAGCATAAAGTGTTTAAAACGTCGGGGGGGGGGGAAGTCAGAGGAATATCTTTATAATCTTGGGGTGGGGGAAGAGCCGTGAAGTCACAAAGGAAAGAATCACAGATTAAACATGAAAATGAAAAATCTTTGTGTCAGGAAGACCACCACAAAGGTAAGAGGCACGCATGACAGGGAGAAGCTATTTGCAGCATATAAACAACCTTTAGCATATCCATCATGTATGAAAGATAAGAAGGCGACAAACAAACCACAAAGCAAAACAGGAAAAGGACACCCTGTCTCCGGCAACCTGGTGCCTTTTGAGTCCCTTCGTAAACATGTGAATTGCACATCCCAGTGGCAGAGATGTTCCCATGAGTTACAAAGGCATCTGCATGGCCTCCATCTGGGCCTGTTTACCAGAAGTCTTGTTGGCTGCCATCTGTCAATTCGTTAAAATTCTTACCTGCACAGTGTGGGGCTGGGGACTGGGGGGCCCTGCCATCCCCAGGATTACACGCAGAAGCCCTGAGGCAATGGATCCTGTACAGAGAGAGGCTAAGTGGCTTTGCTACTTTCTGGCCGTGTAAAATTAGTAAGAGTACAGCGCCTCTCCACTTCAGTTTGCTCAACTCTCAAACTGGGTTTAAAATACCATCTTCCGCACATGGGGCATTGGGGCGACTGAGTGTGCCGGTACGTAGCAAGTGCTCAGGCGCTGCCCAGCATGGTTCACATCCCAGCACACCAGCTGTTACTATGACTGAGGGCTTTGTCTTTCAGGCCTCCTTAATGGAAGTCCTTTCCTGCCTCTTTCTTTGGACCCCGGGCCAAGTAGACTATTGAAAGGCTTGAAGGATGAACACAGGAAGAGAGCAAGCACTCACTGTTTAAGACACCTTTGAAACATGAAAGAAAGTAGAAACAGTCATTCTTAGATGAAACAGGACTTCCTCTCTACTGCACCCTCTCCCAGGATCTTCTGGGGCCAGTTTTGGGACTCTGAAGTAGCCAGGCTTTGCCAGTCCCCTGGGCCTTGTGCATCAGGAGAGCCCGTGTGTGCTAAGAGTTGCTGCAATAGGCCATTTCTGTTCTTCCTTTAAAGCAATGTTCCGCATGTCCACAGAACTGGAAATACTCAATATCCCTTCCTGGGTGCTTTAATTTGTAGCTTACTCTCTTTATTGTATATTATAATCTCTACTTGTTATATTAACTTTCTAGAGAGTTGGCATTGAAGCAACAGAGTAGCTAGCAGAGAATGTGGGAGTCCCAGTGGTTGGGGGCAGGGGATTTTCTAACTGTGGGTTGTTTTCTCAGGAGATAAATGGAATCACTGCAGCACTGGCTGAGGAGCTCTTTGAAAAAGGTATGTAGCTGGGAATCTCCCAAAAGAGTGGGATTCAGGGTGGTGCGGTATCCCATCTGTTGTGCTGTGCCAGTGAGCCATAACCAGGGCCCACCTCCCTGGAGTTGCTCAAATCCCTGGACCTGGGCCACAGCCAAGCCTGACTACCTACCTGCCCACCTGCCCTGCGCCAGCCAGGTCTTAAGAAGCTGTGGTCTTTGACCTTAGCACTCTTTGAGACCCCATGTTGGGGGTTAACTCCAAGCTCAGGATATAGTCCAAAGCCCTGTGATGGAGTTCTGGAAGGTGGATGACATGCTGCCCTCTTGCACCTGCTTTGTCCTTACCCGAGAGAGATTAGATGTGAACCAGAAACCAATCCTAGGTCATCACCCTGCCAGAGAACATAGTAACAGTAGCTAGCATGGAGTGTTTCCTGTTGTTCAGCCTCAGATTGGACATCCCACTGCCTCCCTCTTGGGAGGTTCAGCTAAAGGACACTGAAGGCGAGAGGCCCAGGAACCTGCTTGAGGGTACATGGCTGGGAGGAGCAGAGCAAGGACTGGTTAAGAACCCCACCTACTTGTAGGTCCTGCACAGGGCTGGCACCTCAGGCTTCATCTAACCTTGAGGTGTGTGCATATTGGAGGTCGTAGAGTGGATCTGTTGCCTAGATGTTGCCTCACATCAGCTTTATTCCAGTTCAGGGCCACAGATTTTGACTCGGTCTCGCCTCAGGGAGGCTCCCCAGTCGCACATTCTCATGACCCTTCCTCCTTTGTAATCACGTGTCCTGGGTCTGCCCTGTGCTCAGCCTGAGCTCAGGACCATGGCTTTGTCCCAAGGGTGCTTGCCTAGTGCTTGTTAACCATTGGCCATGTGGGCAGATGCCCTGGCTGCACAGTGGGTGGGGCTGGGTGCTCACCCTGTGGGGCATGGCTGTTGCAGGAGAACTGCTCCTGGGGGCCGGCGAGGTCTTTGCCATCGGGCCCCTGCAGCTCTATGCGGTCACCGAGCAGCTGCAGCAGGGAAAGCCCACGTGTGCCAGTGGGGATGCCAAGACCGACCTCGGGCACATCCTGGACTTCACTTGTCGCCTTAAGTACCTTAAGGTAAAGCTGTGGCAGCTTGGTAATAGAGAGCCGCTCAGTTGTGGGCATATAGCCCAGGTGGGTCCTGATAGCTCATTGGTTAGCAGCATGTGTGAAGGTGCTTGCAAATGAGCCCTGGGACAAGGAAGGCATCTTTGGTGTTCTTGGCACTGTGCTTCTGGCTGTGAGCACCAGGGGGCAGTCGTGATCCAGTGCCCCCTTGCTTTAAACTGTGGCTTTAGCCTGCTTTGTTGACCACGCAAGTGGTGTGTGGAGGTCTGTGAGTCCTGGTACAGGTTTGGTGGGTACAGCACTGCCCCCATGAACGTGGCTGAGGAACGCTTACAGCAGCATCCCTGATTCAAGCCCTGTGTCTGGCCACAGGTTTCTGGCACAGAAGGACCTTTTGGGACCAGCAACATTCAAGAGCAACTCCTGCCTTTTGATCTGTCAATATTCAAGTCTCTTCATCAGGTGGAGGTAAGGCCCAGGGCCCTGGAGGCTCAGCCGGGCTGAGTGCATGTGGGTGTCCTCTTGCTTCTGGTTATCTGTGGGCCAGAGAGAGTCTGGATTTACCCATAAGGTGCTGTTGCTTTTGTGTTTGTCACTATGTGACAGGCCCCATCTAGCTAAATCAGGCCCATCTGAAGGTGGAGAGAGAGGGGCCTCTGCTGCTCCTGGCTGCTCTGCATGTCTGTTCTGGGCACAGACAGCATTTGGACAGGATGGAGCACCAGTGCTTGTTGGCTGTTTCTTCTCGTTGCTCAAGTTGAAGTGCTGGGAGGGCATCCTGGGGGTCAGGCAGAGCCAGTTCCAATCTGTGTTTCCCAGGGCAGATCAGCAGAGGGCTCTGAGGGTTCTCTGCCCTCCAGTATGCCCATACCTAACAGGAAATACTTTGTATTACTCACTACCAAATTCCTGGGTTCACAATGCTAGATTCGTTAACATTTTTTAAATGTGAGGGGACTCAATAACATAATTTTTAAAAATGCTTTAAAGCGTCTATTTCTCAAGCATAGCTTTTGTGTTCAACCCTGTGTCTTAATGTACACTTTTAAAAAAATTTTTATCCATAAGAGAGACAGAGAGAGGGGCAGAGACAGGCAGAGGGAGAAGCAGGCTCCCCACAGAGAGCCTGATGTGGGGCTCCATCCTAGAACCCCAGGATTCCAGCTGAGCCTACGGTAGATGCTCAACCACTGAACCACCCAGGTTCCCCAATAGACACTTCTTGATGGAATCTTCCCGACAGCCCTGTGGAATGGGTATTTTTATTCTCATTTTGCAGTTGAGGAAACCTAGGGTTAGGGAGGTAAGGAAGCTTGTCCAGGACCACACAGTTAACGAGGAGAAGCTGGGATCTGAATTCAGCCTCTGCCACCAATGGGACTATTCTGCCTGCGGCATTCTGGGCTAGTCGCAGAGAACTTGAGGACCGCAGCCCCTTGCTGGGAACCTAGGGTGTGTGCCTCCACCAGTGCTGGCTGAGGAAGGACTGGGAACTCAGAGCAGTGCCCGACCCAGCCTCAGCTTGCATGCTAAGGCCCCAGAGTTGGGGTCTGCAGATGGGTGGTGTTCATGGGCATGCTTTGGCCTGTAGCTGTCCCTCCCTTGTGCAGGACAATCAAGGCCAGTAAAGTAGGGCTGGGTGAGCAAGAGGGCCCATCGTATTCACTGTGCGCCAGAGGCCCTCTGCTCTCAAGTTCTGCTTTCCAGAGCCCATTCTTCATGTCCACCTCCCAAGCCCCAAGTCAGCCCTTACAGCCATTTCTGAGGCACAGCTTTTCTTTGTTCCAGATTAGTCACTGTGGTGCCAGGCACATCCGGGGACTAGTTGCGTCAAAGCCCACCTTAGCCACAATGAGCGTCCGCTTCTCTGCCACCTCTATGAAGGTAAGCTCCACCTGTTTCCTGCCTGGGGCACCGAGGGGCAGGATCCTACGTTGTGGTGTCCCACCCGTCTGCGCGGAGTATGGGTGTGGGCAGCTCTGTGCTCATGCAGGTCTCCCCAGTGCTCAACATTCCCTGGGATGCTTTAGTTTGTCTTCATCAAAAAGCGATACTGTTAAACAAGATAGTTGAAAGAATTGGGTCTCCCCACCCCAAGCCCCGCCAAAAAGTGATTTTAGATGTGACAAATTGCTAGGCAGTAGCAAGTGACAGAATGTTTATTAGATTGATATCAATGTTTCTCTAAGCTTAAAAAGCCCTGGCTTAGTACTTGTCTATATCTTGTTTTGAATGGACTTGAAGTAGGTCAGGTCATGGAAATGCTGGTCCCTGTTGTTTGTGTGTGAGTAACAGAAATACTCGAGAATGTGAGGGGTTTCTTTTCTGTTTACCTTTTTACGGATTACATCTTAGTAATGTTCAAATCCTTCTCTGGGTATAGAACAAACATAGTGGTTACTTTTATGACATAGTGTCTGATCCAGATTTGGGTTTGGCCAAGTCTTGAGGCCACTGGCTGAGATAGGAGGCTTGCGTCAAGAGCAAGGGTGTTGGGGACAACCCAGCCTTTCTCCGATGCACTCCCTGCCGCCTGACTCAAAGGGCCCATATTGATCCATTGAGGGAGGAAAGGCCTTTTGGGCAGAACTGCCAACCCAAGGAGGCCTTCCTTTTTGTCCTTTGATGGGGCCTCTGTGTCCATGCTACTACCCTGTGAAGTCATGGACAGTGATGGCCTGCTGTCCTCAGTGGGGGCTATAGTGCCAGCTTGGAAAGGATAGTTGTCTGGAAACACCATGATCTGATATTCAGCTCCTGAGGTTTAAGCCAGAAAAGGCATCACCACATAGCAAAAGGCTCTTCTGGTTCGAAAAGCATTTGCTAATGAAGCAGGGTCAGAACATTTTCCAAGTGGCTGTTCTGTTACTAAGCTTTTCTGTTATTTCACAATCGCTTAAAACCATATGAACTGAAGCCCATTTTAATGCAAGTGTACTTCCACATGCTAAATATGCTGAAGCCCTTCCTGAAATTTTGCAATGATTGTTGTTGCGTGAGGGCCAAGTGTGGTGCTCAACAGATGTTCTTACACAGGAAGTCCTTGTTCCCGAAGCGTCAGAATTTGATGAGTGGGAGCCAGAAGGCACGGCCCTGGAAGGCCCTGTTACCGCTGTCATTCCCACGTGGCAGGCACTGACCACCCTAGACCTGAGCCACAACAGCATCTCCGAGATCGACGAGTCTGTGGTATGCTCTCAGCAACAGGTGCCAGGGGCTTCTCTGGCCTGATCAAACCCCAAGGTTGGGTATTTAACTTGGCCTTTTCTAGAAGGACCACAGAAAACCTATATTCTGTGTTCTGTGTATGCCTGAAAATTTTTAATTTCAAAGTGGAATTAATTAAAATAGGTGAAGTAGTGGTTAGAGTCAAATGAAGCACCTGCATGTTTGATACAGAAACAAAATGAACAAGGACATTTACTCCCAGGGAGTGCAGTAGAACAATCACTCCATAGATTCTAGACATGCCCATGTAAGAGTGATATCCCGATGGGATTTGGGCAAGAAGAGAGTGATCCCTGTATTTGTGCTCTTTGGTGGGTTTGGGCAGGGCTGAAGAAGACGGACGGACTTACTTCCGTCTGGAACCTTGCCACTGTTATTTTCGCAAGCCAGGTGTTTTGTAGGAATAGTGGACCGTGTTCTGCACTGGAGACCCTCTGTGCTCCTGGGACGGGCTGCTGAGTGGGCACGGAAGGTGTCACAGCAGCTGCCCCACAGAGATGTCTGGCTGGGGAGTCCGTGTCTGGAGGAAGCATCCCACAGTGTCCATCACCAGTTGCGGAGGCCACCGAGGGTCCCATGTCCTAGAGTAGCCTGAGCTCTCTTTTTTCTTTCACAAGAAACTGATTCCAAAGATTGAGTTCCTGGACCTGAGTCACAATGGAGTGCTGGTCGTGGACAATCTGCAGGTAATTCATGTCTTTAAAGGCCACCATCTTTGGGCTTCTCGAGGTCCTGTTCTCCTGAGAGCTCAGGAAGCTAATGCCACCTTGGGCATTTGGCCGTACCCTAGGGTCTTCTCTCATAGGCCCCCGAAAGGTGTCTGGGTACCCTGGAGTTTTGTATAGATGGGGTCTGCTGGTGTCCCCTTCGGGTATCAGTGATGCACCAGATGATTGTTTCTCTAGTTTCAAAGAGTGAGGAAAGACATGGAAATGTAGACTGAGCATGATGAAGATGATACACCTCCATCACGGTGACGGACAGCCTCATTTTCACAGCTATGCCTCCCCCGAGGGCCGTGATGTCCCTACTGGGGAGGGGGGCTGTGCCACAGGGCCCCTGGGTGTGCCAAGGATCCAAGGTTGCCCTTACCAATAGCTGTCCAAGGGAAGTGGGCATTGGAGGGCTAAAGGCCCACTGCACTGTTAGTGGTGGCCCGCCTGCTCAGGAGCCTTGGCCTGAACCAGCTTATCCTGTTCTTGATGCCCGCTGCAGCACCTGTACAATCTCGTGCACCTGGACCTGTCCTACAACAAGCTCTCCTCCTTGGAAGGGGTGCACACCAAATTGGGAAATATTAAGACCCTGAACCTGGCTGGAAACCTGCTGGAGAGTCTGAGTGGCCTGCACAAGCTCTATTCCCTGGTCAACCTGGACCTCCGTAACAACAGGATCGAGCAGGTGAGTCCCAGCCCGGGAGGCTCCCGGGGTCCTGGGATGGCTGCGCCTGGGAGTTGAGGACTTGAAAAAGGAACGGTAAGCTGACTTTCATTGAAAAGAGGCCATCAGACGTGTCGGCCTATTGCTGAAGCATTCGAGGATGAGATGAGGGAAAGGAACTTGTTTCTTGCAGATGGAGGAGGTCCGGAGCATCGGCAGCCTCCCGTGTCTGGAGCATGTGGCTCTGTTGAACAACCCCCTGAGCATCATTCCTGACTACCGCACCAAAGTGCTGGCTCAGTTCGGAGAGAGAGCCTCCGAGGTAAGCTGCTGGGGAAGTTCTGTTCTGTCTGAGAGACGGTCAGGTTGGAGTCTGGCTTCTCCCAGGCAGTGCTGGAGGTGGTGTCCCCTGTTCTGTGGCTGCCTGCTTTGGAACAACATCTGGCCCTGAAGGGCCTCTCAGTTCTGGGAAGTCTGCTGCCTCCCCAGGAAGAGGCTTCCCCGCCCCTTCTGTGGGGGCGCCAGCTGCCCTGGTTCCCGCTGGCTTCTCTCAAGTCATCTTCTGTCACGGCTTTGGGCCAGGAAGGCTCCCCACCAAACAGCAGGCACAGACCAAGGGTAGAGGGACTGTCTTCGGCTTGTAAGAGTCACCCTGTATTTTGTAGACTGTGGACCTTAAAGGGCTCGCCCACCTTTGCCAGTGTGGACCAGCCCAGCGTCTGCCACCTGCTGTGTGTGATCTGGCCACCTGCCACCATGTCAGCCTCACAGATCCTTAGCCGGACTTATCTGTCTTTTCAGTCTGAAGCAGGCCTCTCCTCTTTCTCCCCAAATCCCAGGCCAGAACATACGTGGGTGTTTGCATCCTCCCCCCTGACCACCCTCCTCGCCCCTTTGCAGCCCCCAAGTGCCCCTTTCTTCGCACCATCACTAAGACTGTGTTTACAAGACGTCCTCTCCTCTTTCTCTCCCCAGCTGCACAGTGTGGTGTCAGCTCTTCTCCAGGCCCTTGGGACTGTCCTTTATGGACCACACCACCACCCCTCAGTGCTCGCTAGTCATAGCCTCCTCCTGTATTTGCAGATGGGGCTCCCCACCCTTCTGCCTGTTCCCCGTGCTTCTGCCCTCCCAGATCCTCAGCTCAGAGACCCTCCCTTTACTGATCTGAGTTTTTGCCATAATTGGGGGCTTGGTTCAGGTCACCGCCTTCTATCACTCTCAGTCACCCAAGAGGCCATCACAGTGGATCCTGCACCCCTTCTCAGAGAGGGACTCCCAAAAACAAACTGGGCAGTGTGGGATCTCCCGGGTCACTTCTGAGGGTGGTGAAGAGCTCACACGCCAGGGGGCAGAATGTCCCCTGGCCACCTGTGTCCTCTTAGGGCATGGCACACACCTCAGCAAGGTCCCTTCCACTCTGCTCCTATCATCAGCCCCTGTGCTGATGGCTGTTCTCTGAACTCTGTAGGTCTGTCTGGACAGCACAGCCACCACAGAGAAGGAGCTGGACACTGTGGAAGTGCTCAAAGCAATTCAGAAAGCCAAGGAGGTCAAGTCAAAGCTGAACAACCCAGAGAAGAAGGTGGGTCTTTGTGTGGGAGGCAACAGGAGTGATGGTGAAGAGCCAGCGAAGGGAAGAGCTGGCTTGCGGTGGTAACGGGACATGGAGCGCTCCGGGCCCCTATGTCCTGGCTGCATCCCACTCCCTTCACATCCTGGTTGTCCTCACCAATTCGAGGCCGGCAATTGGCAGCTCTGCCCCACGGGGTTGCTGTGGACTAGGCAGGGCCGCCTTCACCATCACCACACTTCTGAGAGGTGGGAGCTCCCCTCCTCCCCAGTGGCTGTGTCAGGATCTGTGTTTCCTGATCTTTCTCTCCTCCCCCGGGCTGACTTGAGCACTCCTCCTCAGATCAGTGAGGATTCCCGACTCTCAACGGCCCCCTGCATCCGATCCAGCGGCTCCCCTCCCAGCGTGGCTCCCACCTCTGCCTCCCTGCCCCAGCCCATCCTCTCCAACCAAGGTAATTGTGTATGTCTCACCATCTAGCAGAGTTGCACAGGTCCTGCCCAGGCCTCTAGGCTTGGCTTGGGGGAAGATGCCAGTACCTGTACCCTATAGGTTCAGACACAGGGAGGGCATGGTGCTGTCTATAGGCAGCAGCACCTCTTGGGGTGGCACAGAGTTGGGGGTGGCGGCTTGGTATCAGCTTTGTTGTTTACTTAGCAAGGGTCCCCAGTTGTCCTGAATCCCACATCCAGTTCCTGTAGGATCCCATGGGTTTCTAATGGGGCCCCAAGGCTACCCTTGGAACAGACTCGGGGCTGCTGTTCATAAAGACCCTGTTCCCCCACAGGCAGCATGGGCAGATTGGCTCCTAACTAATGGGACGCCAGGCCCAGTGACTTTCCTGAATCGGGCACCCTGACCCCTGTATAGGAAGTTTTTTTGCTTTTTTTTTTTTTTTTTTTATCATTGCCTTATTTCTGTGGTTCTTGCGGTGTGATCCAGCCCCAAAGTTCTGTGTGTGTGGGCCAAGATGGGCTGTCCGTGGACCCATGGAAGACCAGTTCCCTTTACCCGCCCACTGTCTTAGCGTTTTCAAAGGGCTTTCAACTCTGAACCCAGGCATCCTCGGAGATGAGTGAGTGAAGCAGGTCCCATGAGAGTGTCTGCTGGCCCGGCCCCTGCGGAAGAGGGGAGGGTGTGCCGTCCCGAGTGGAGCCGAGGCTCGGGACACACAGGAAAGAACGCCGCCCGCCCACCCGGGCTCCTGGAGACGCAGAACTTGGTGTGAGGTCTTGGGAAAACAGTTTGACCCTATGTTTCAAGAGCCAGAAAAACGTTCCCACCCCTTGACCTGGTAACCCCGCTGGTGGGGCTTTTATCTTAGTGGGATAAGTTAATGGGGAAGGGGGAGGTGAAATGCTCATTGCAACGTTATTTATGCAAACAAAACATGGGATGTGACAGGCATCAGATGATGCAAAGGAGATTGAGCCATGGTGCAGAATGCTCTGCCGCCATCACATCAGAGAGAGGGGGCCTGGGTAGGAAGAAAGGAGAAGTGCTCAGGTTAGGTCCGAAAGCCCATGGCTGGGCAGCACACCAAGGTCATGACCTTGAGGTCAGAGAAAGAACTCCTGAGAATGGAACGGTGGTGTTAGGGGCCAGAGGAATTGTCAATCTGCTTTTGTAACACTCGACTGAGAAATTTTGGTTTTATTTTTTTACATGAAAGGGGAGGGAGGTTTGTATCACTGCGAAGAAGCTTCCCTGCTGCCTTTCCTGCCGTCGGGCCAAAGCCCTCTTGGGGGCCACCACCGCGTGCTGCCCTGTCACAGCACCGGCCAGCCTACAGAGGAGCCATATGACTAGGCTTCCAGGGGACAGGGAGGTGCGACAGGTCCTCGAGGCCAGGAATCAGCTGGTTCTCAGCATTTGTTGACTCGGTGAATGAGTGAGTGTGTGGGTGAACAAGCAAGTGGAGAACCAGCTGCTAAAGCGCAGACCGTGGGTGGGGGAGATAAGGTGTCTGCCCCCAGAGCCGCTGCAGGCAGCCCCTGCTCGGGCAGGAAGGCCTCTGCCCCCTCCCCCACCGCCCCACTCCCAGGGATGTGCCACAGAGTGGCTCACTGTAGTCTGTTCCCCCCCCTTCCTGGCTACCAGACATTTAGACGTTGTCTCCAGATTTGCACCTCTTACGAATAAAACTGTAGTGGATGTCTTTGTGTGCACATCTCTTTCCTTTCTGTGAGAAACAACAGAATTCGGGCCCCATCTAGGCGCTCTGATGCCTCTCGTCTCATCCTCTGAGTGACCCTTCCTGACCACTTGTTTGTACAGTCCACGGTCCAGGAAGGAAGCAGAAAGACTGTCCCTGTCCACATTTCCTCAGTTCCAAACAGGGCGTGGGTGGGTAGTGGCAAGAAAACGTTTTTTTCTCACTAAGGTGGAGGAATCTGCAGATGGTGGTGTTCAGCCATGTGCTGTACCCAACCAGGGTCTTGCCTGGATGGACCAGGATTTCTCCTTCAGGGAGCAGCTGTGCTCCCAGCCCACTCCCACCTGTGAGGCAGGCAGACATACTTGTGAATAAAGTGGGTGCTTTCCAGTTAACACCAGGCCTCTGGTTATCTCAGGAGCTGGTAGCCAGCTTGTTGGAGCCCTGGAGGATTGTGACCAGTAGGGGCTGACGGATGAAATGCCAGAGTTGACTCTTCCACCAGGTCCATAGAGAAGTGCTTAGGAGCAGGCACCCGGGAGGGAGGCAGCTCAGTTTGCATCCCAGCTTCCCTGGCCACGTGCCTTCAAGCAACTTACAGCCTCTCCGAAATCCTGTTCTCTCAACTGTAAAGTGGATACACCCTACTTCATCGATTCTAAGATGCACCCGTTTCCACCCTGTGACTTCCCTGAAATTGAGATGCGTCTTTGAGTCAGTGGCGTCTCATAGTCGCTGTCAGCCAGCTGGTATTCGTGATGGAGTCGTGTGAAAGCCTTCCGTGGACACCTGCTAAGACCAAGATGGCACCCCATCCAACGCATCTTAGATTTGATGAACTGTGGTAAATAATGAGAGGCATGCATGAGCTGATGCTGGGGAAGCGCTTAACACTGCTCCTGGCTCATCAGGAATGGTCAGTGAGGGCTTCCCTTTCTTGTGTTCTTTGTGGGGGTTTCCAGATGACCAGGACGGTGCCCCTAAAGAACCTGGAGCCTCTTGGGGAGGTGAGCTTATATGCCCAAAGGAGAACAGGGCAGGATGACCTGGGGGTGTTTGTAGAAGAGAGAGGCAGGTCTAGAGCAGAGAGAGCTTTGTAGTGGTGATAGGTGAGGTGAACCTCAAAGGATGGTAGGATCTGAGCATGTGAGGGAGGAGGGGGGTGGACTCCAGGAGAGAGCAGTGTGCTTTGTGCATGGCTGTGTGCTTGCCGCCTTCCTGCCTGTGCATAGCTTCTGCTGCTTTTGCTCGGGGGCTGGGGTGGCAGCAGGCAGAGGCATCTAGGCTTGGGCTGTTGGCTTGGCTGGCTCATGGGCAGAGGACCTGGGCTGCATGAGTTGTCCTGCCCCGGGCGGGCGGGGGAGGGAGCGCGGCTGAGCTGGACAGGGGTCTGTGACTTCTGGAGCTCAACCATTTCACTGAGCCACAGTGACTGGCAGCAAAACCAGGCAAGCGCTGGGCTCCCTTCAAACCTCTTTGAAACTGAGGGTTGATTTTCAGTGTTCTCCCAGCTATCTACACTTAACAAAAGGTTTTTTTTAAAAAATCTTTACCCTCCACCACTGTGGAAAACGTCCAGAGTGAAATAATAGGCCTGGACATGCTATCCTCATAAAACAGCCTCAGCGGGATTTAAGAACGCTCTTGTTTCTGGGGTGCATGAGTCACTGCGCTGTCCATGGAGGTGGCCCAGGGGAGGGTCAGTGGGGAGCGTCGTGCGGAAAGCAGGCCATGGGTGCCGAGCACGGTTTGTCCTTGCCAGCCTCGGAGAAAAACAGCCTGCAAGAAGGCCCGGCCTTCCGAGTGAGGGGTCCCAAGCCCTTGCATGTCTGTGAAATTCACAGAAATGTTCTATTGGTGGGATTGCCAAGTTTAGTCAAGTTCCTAGAAAGAGGTTCCAGGAGTGAACACGTTGAAGGCTCTTGATGGACATACTGCCAAACTGCTCTCCCAGCCGGCAGGCCAGCTCGTGCCCCACTGCCCGCCTCTGCCCCGTCAGGCCAAGTCCAGGCCAGGCTGACAGACCTTTGCCAAAGTGAGACAAAACCAAGGTCTTGTTTCAGCTTGCCCTTCTGGGGTTCCTTTTGGGGGTGTGCCTCACTTCTGGTGTTCTTTCTGGTGGCCATTCCTTTGTGAGATATCTGTTCATCCTTGCAGTCTCCTAATGGGGTTTCCAGCCCCTGCTCCCCATTCTTGTTATCTGGAAGAGCCTTTTATAGATCAAAGACAAATGTCTTTGTTAAGTATCACAAGTACTTTTTTTCTCATTTCATTTTGATTTATCTTAGGTTCTTTTTTTTTTTTTTTTAACAGAACTTTGGTTGTTATGTAGTCGTACATATCGATTTCTTCCTTTGGATTTAGGTTTAGAAAGTCTGTCCCTGCTCTGAAATTAGATAATCAGTCATTTATCCTTCGAGTTTAAGATTTCCATTTTTAATGTTTCTTTCTGTGACCTTGTGGTTGGGTTAGGGAGTCTGACAAGGCCCTCAGTCATGCCGGTAGCCTGAGGGTCCAGCCCTGATTGTTGAATGGCTACTCTCCCTACCTGCCCTGCCTGCCCACCCCTGGTCTCTCCAGGTATCATGTTCGTTCAAGAGGAGGCCCTGGCCAGCAGCCTCTCCTCCACCGACAGTCTGACTCCCGAGGACCGGCCCATTGCCCGGGGATGTTCTGATTCCTTAGAGTCCATCCCTTCAGGACAGGTAATACCCTCCTCCTACTTTTGGGGATTGCTTATTTCTCTGGATCAACTGTTCTGCCTGGGGCTGTCCAGAAGTAGGACCTGCCTGGAAGGTAGAGGTGGTGTGGCTGGAGTTGGGGGCAGATGCTGCCATTGCTTGGTGCACTCTGCTTTGTGATGAGCAGTTTGTATTCCCTGTCTGTTCCTCTGTCTGTCCATCTCTTTGTGTGTGTGTCTCTGTCTGTCTCTCGGGGCTAATAGGAACAGGCAGTTCTCTCACTAGGCCCTGGAGGGCCAAAGCCAGTAGATGGTCTTTAGCCCCTATGAGTGGACTGTCCTGGGAAAGGCAGTTCAGAAAGCCCTAGGTGGGGATTGTTTGGGTCCCACACCCATCAGGAAGAGTTTGTCCACCATTGCCTGGCACACTGGGCTTTTCTGCTCACTCCTGCATGTTACCCTAGTAGTCTGGGGCACATGATGACTCCAGCATCTTCTCTGTGGCTGCTGCTAAGGGTTCTGGAGCTTCTCCCTCTGTCTTGGGAAGAGAGGAGGAAGGCAAGTGTGATAGGATCTCATGTGTGGGGCTTCTCCCTGGTACCTGGGCCTCCATCCAGCCCTGACCAGTAGTCCAGGGTCATGGCCCTGTGACCCTGGGCAGTTTGCACAGTCCTCGTTCTGTCCCAGTACTCCTTGGCACTCGTCCTTTCACTCTCCCCAGGGTCACACAATAGGAGGTTCCCAGCTCCTAGGTCCTCTGCACTGCCCGGAGACCACTGGGAGGGCCTTGCCAGGTGCTACATAGCCTCAGCTCACAGAGTCCTCTGTGGGCCAGTTGCCACATTGATAGGCTGTCCATGCGGACCCACTGCGGTGGCATGAGGACTCAGATGCCAGACCTAGAGGCACATGCTAAGCTGCAGCATGGCAGGAGGCTCTGGCCCAGGTCTGGGGGCACGGCTGGTGTCAGACAGACATAGGTGGGAATCTCAGCCCTGCCATGCACTGCTGTGTAACTGGGTGAGTCTCTCTCTGCCTTTCTGGGCTCCAGAATCTGTCCTCAAGAGAAACATGGGGATGGTAAGGAGCTTCTCGTAGGGTGGTGAAATGGGGAAGGGTGCCTGGGTCAGGGTCCAGCACCCAGTAAATGCCAGGGACTGGCTGCAGCAAATAGGGGACTCACCACATGTCCTTCTCTGTCAGGCACCTTCTGATGATTTACCGGACATGCCAGGAGCTGTTGGTGGTGTGAGGTAAGGAAGAGGTTAAGAAGGCATTCTAGGCCTTCTGCACATGCCCAGCTGTGGACCAGTGGGAACCAGTTGGATTTTGTTAACAATCTGTTCATAGAAGTTCTTCAGAGATATTTCTTCCTTTAAATAAACAGGAACGAGGTGGGTTCTGGTCTGTTTCCAAATTCTGATCCCTGAAGTTTGCTTGACGCGTTATCCCATACCAGGGGTCAGCAGATCAAGGCCAGTTTGGCCAACAGGCTTATTTTGTACAGCCTGTGGGCTGAGATTGATTGTTAAATTCTTAAAGCACTGTTAAAAAAAAATTATGTGGATGGGCTTCCCGAAAACTGTTCACTCTCTGACTTTTTATAGAAGTTTTCCAACCCTGCTCTATATGTGCTTTTTCACGGAGGGGAGCAGTGGCCAAGAGGAGCTAGAATTTAAATGTGAAAGTCCTAAGACCCACCTAGCTGACCCCCTGACTCCCATCCCAGAGGCCACTGGGTGCTCCTGAAGGGAACCATTGTCAACAAGTGACTTCATGCCCTTGAGCTCTCATTCCCTTGGGAGTTAAAGCCAGCCTCTGAGTGACTGAGAAGTCTTGTGGTGCTTTTGTTGGGAGAGCCCGTGTGGTGTGGGTACAACAGTGCTGAATGCCTGTGGCCTGAGCCCTGGGAATGTAGACTTGCACTGAGCCGGCAGTCCCAGCAGTCCCAGCCCTCCAGTGTCTTGGCTCCCCACTTGGGCACTTATCAAGGACATGGGCTGAGCTGTTTCGAAGGCTTGGGAGACCCTCGTGTTGTTCTGTCGAGGCCAGGGTGCAGCGGCAGGCTTTGCCTGTGGGCAGTAGGGATAGTCCAGCCCAGAATGCCATTGACCTGGCCTCTCCTCACACAGCCCGGAGCATGCAGAGCCGGAGGTCCAGGTGGTGCCCGGATCTGGCCAGATCATCTTCCTGCCCTTCACCTGTATTGGCTACACAGCCACCAACCAGGACTTCATCCAGCGCCTGAGCACACTCATCCGGCAGGCCATTGAGCGGCAGCTGCCCGCCTGGATAGAGGCTGCCAACCAGCGGGAGGAGGGTCAGGGCGAGCAGGGCGAGGATGACGACGATGATGAGGAGGATGCCGCTGAGAACCGCTACTTTGAAATGGGGCCCCCTGATGTAGAGGAAGAGGAGGAGGGTGGCCGGGGGGAGGAAGAGGAGGAGGAGGAGGAGGAGGAGGAGGAGGAAGGCGAGGAGGAGCGCCTGGCCTTGGAGTGGGCCCTGGGTGCAGATGAGGACTTCCTGCTGGAGCACATCCGCATCCTGAAGGTGCTCTGGTGCTTCCTGATCCACGTGCAGGGCAGCATCCGCCAGTTCGCCGCCTGCCTCGTGCTCACTGACTTCGGCATCGCTGTCTTCGAGATCCCGCACCAAGAATCAAGGGGCAGCAGCCAGCACATCCTCTCGTCCCTACGCTTCGTCTTCTGCTTCCCCCACGGTGACCTCACCGAGTTCGGCTTCCTCATGCCGGAACTGTGCCTGGTGCTGAAGGTGCGGCACAGCGAGAACACACTGTTCATCATCGCCGACGCCGCCAACCTGCACGAGTTCCATGCCGACCTGCGCTCGTGCTTTGCGCCGCAGCACATGGCCATGCTGTGCAGCCCTGTGCTCTACGGTAGCCACACCAGCCTACAGGAGTTCCTCCGCCAACTGCTCACCTTCTACAAGGTGGCGGGTGGCTGCCAGGAGCGCAGCCAGGGTTGCTTCCCCGTCTACCTGGTCTACAGCGACAAGCGCATGGTGCAGACTGCCGCCGGGGACTACTCGGGCAACATTGAGTGGGCCAGCTGCACCCTCTGCTCGGCCGTGCGGCGCTCCTGCTGTGCGCCCTCTGAGGCCGTCAAGTCCGCCGCTATCCCCTACTGGCTGCTGCTCACACCCCAGCACCTCAATGTCATCAAGGCCGACTTCAATCCCATGCCCAACCGTGGCACCCACAACTGCCGCAACCGCAACAGCTTCAAGCTCAGCCGAGTGCCGCTGTCCACGGTGCTGCTGGACCCCACACGCAGCTGTACCCAGCCACGGGGCGCCTTCGCGGACGGCCACGTGCTGGAGCTGCTCGTGGGCTACCGCTTTGTCACTGCCATCTTTGTGCTGCCCCATGAGAAGTTCCACTTCCTGCGTATCTACAACCAGCTACGGGCCTCATTGCAGGACCTGAAGACTGTAGTCATTGCCAAGACCCCTGCGACTGGGGCCCGGTCCCAGAGCCCCCTCGTGGAAGGCCAACCTCCCGAGGACAGGGCCAGGTGAGACAGTGCAAGCTCTTGGCAGGGGGATGGGGGGGGGCATGTGTGAGCCAGGGTGGGCCTGGCTCCTCTGCTCCTTCTGACCAGCGTCAGCATTGCCCTTGGCTCCCTGTGACACCCTATGACAAGCCTTACTCTGGTGGTGAGCCATGTACCCCTTTTCAGGAAAAACTGGGTCATTAAGGGGCTTTCTCTTTGCATGTAATTCTATGAGTGCCTTCCAGAATCACTTGTTGGCAGAGAGTAGCAAGGTCTGAGGTCTGAGTTTGAGCTGGGCAGTTCTCTGGTTCAAAGCTCCTTTCCTTCTTGCAGCAGGGGAGACAGAGAAGGAAGTAGTGGTAGTCTTGTCCTGTTCTTCCTCCCTCTGCCTGGCTTCCCCTTGGCTCCCTCCCTGGGTTTCCCTCGGGGCCATCTGGAGCTGAGGCTAGAGGGAGGCCTATGAGCAGCCATGCCCATATTATCCTCAGCTCACCCCCACCCAAGACTCCAGAGGGGCCTCATGCCCTGGAGGGTGCTCCTTCATCTGTTGGTCCTCCTGTCCTCTGAGATACAGCCTTACTTTCTCTTCTGTCCTTGGAACCAGTGGAGACACTGTCCTCACCCCAGTGTCTCAAGCCTTCTGCTCTGATCTCAGCTCCCGAAACTGGTGTTTCCAGGGGGCTCCCAAACTCTCCCTGGATGAATCAGGTCCCTTTCTTGGGCCCAGCTCAAGTCCCATGCCCTCCATAGAGATGCCATCAGGTCTCGAGGTGCTGGAGAGCAGCTTCTGCCCAAGGCACCCCACCCCTCTGTGCTGAGGCCTCAAGGGGTGACACCTTGCCTCCATTTCCTTGCTGTCCCCAAGCCTGGCTAGAACTTGCCCACAATGGGGACTGCATGCAGAAAACGGACACCCTTCTTTATCCCAGCAGGCACATCTTTGTGCCAACCCTGGGGTACCACACTGCCTGTCTTTCCTCTGACTGCCCATCATCTTCTAAGAGGGAGGGCCTGGCACTTTCCCTTTGTTCTGTCTGCCTGTAGGGAACCTTGAGATGATGAAATCTCCAGAGGACCCCAGACTTGGCAGTTGGTACATGTGTTTCATCACCCTCTGAGGTTGTATGTGATGTGACTCTCCACTTGGGGTCCCTCTGCTAACACAATATTTCTTGGGGGATTGGGATATGTAGCAATGACCAGCATCCTCAGGAGGTCCTAGTAGAGGCTCCAGCTCCAATGCCAGCAGAGGCTCTAGCCCCAGCCACAGCAGAGGCTCCAGCCCCAGCAGAAGTTCCAGCTCCAGTCCCAGTGCCAGCAGAGGCTCCAGCTCCAGTCCCAGTGCCAGCAGAAGCACCAGCCCTGGCTCTGGCCTCAATGGAGGTCCCAGCCCCGGCCCTGGAAGAGGCTGTGGGCCCAGCAAAGGCCTCAGGCCCAGTGGAGGGCCTGCTTCCAGATTTGGCCCCAACAATGGCCTTGGCCTCAGAGGAGACCCCAGCAGACACCTCAGCCCCAGCCCCAGCCGAGCCTCTGGTGCAAGCGGAGGCCCCTGCTCATTACCCAAGTGAGCACCTGATCCGCTCCACGTCGGAGGAGAATCAGATCCCCTCACACCTGCCTGCCTGCCCATCACTCCGTCACATCGCCAGCCTACGGGGGAGCACCATCATCGAGCTCTTTCACAGCAGCATTGCCGAGGTAGTGGCACTAGAGCTGGGCTCGCTCACTAGCACTCATATGGAGAAAGGTAGCACAGTCAGGGGAGGGAGATCCTGTCACGCCCTCACACTATGGCCACTCCTAGCCTTGGGCCCCAGACACACCCTGCCCCACACCCATCTCTCACCCTTCGGTTCTTCTCTGCTTCCAAGTTCATAAATTGAGCAGATGCAGTGAGGGTCCTGTGTCTCCTCAGCAACGACTATGGGCATGTCAGGGATGTGCAAGTCATCAGGGCAGTGGGGCTGATGGGAGGGAGGGTGTACCCTGTCCAGGGCTCTGTTCTCAGGCAGGCACAGCCCAGAAGAGAGTTGTGTGCCTCTGGCACTGCTTGGCTCCGGGCCCAGACCTAGCCCTTCTGTGTCCAGGTTGAAAACGAGGAGCTGAGGCACCTCATGTGGTCCTCAGTGGTGTTCTATCAGACCCCGGGGCTGGAGGTGACCGCCTGCGTGCTGCTCTCGACCAAGGCTGTGTACTTCGTGCTGCATGATGGCCTCCGCCGCTACTTCTCAGAGCCGCTGCAGGGTAGGCACCAGGGCCCGCTGGCACCCGAGAGCTCAGAGCATGTTCCCGAGGAGACAGGCCAGGCTCTGTCCTAGAGCCAGCTCTGTGGCCTTAGGCAGCAGGATTTGGCTGTGCTGTACCGAGCCTTCCTTGTCTGAGGAAGGGGGCTGATAGCCACACTCTCTCCTGGAGCTCTCATGAGAGACCTAAGGCCAGCACATGAGTCAGGACCTGGCTAGGGGCCCAGGCACTGGTTCTAACGAGGAGGGGTTGGCAGCCTCTGTTCAGTGGGACTCCAGTGGGAGACCTTAGCCAGCGGCCTGTCAGGGGCCCTCAGTCCTGCGCTGAGCCTGGCAATCAATGCCCCTAGAATGCATTGCCAGTGAGGCCTCATGTGCATGGAGGTGGGGGCGGCTCCTTGCCAGGCCTCAGGAGGCCAGGCTGGCCAAGGGGCCCCTTCCCTGCTGGACAGAGCTGCGTACCTGGGACCCTCGTGCTCTCCTGGCAGAGCCAGCACCACACATGGTTCCTGTCTTTCCACTGTAGATTTCTGGCATCAGAAGAACACTGACTACAACAACAGTCCCTTCCACATCTCCCAGTGCTTTGTTTTAAAGCTCAGCGACTTGCAGGCTGTCAATGTTGGGCTTTTCGACCAGTATTTCCGGCTGACGGGTGAGTGGCTGCTGTGCTTTGTCCTATTTTGGGTGAAGGCCGGTGTCACCAGTGGGCTCCCACCGTCCGTATGTGGGTGCGTTATCACAGGCTGAGTTATCTCTGCTCACAAGCCTGATCACCGGCACGGGAGGAAGCAGCTTCAGGAACTGCTGAGGGTGCAGAACCCCCCACCCCCCAGGGCTCGATGCAAGGCAGGACAGAGGCGGCCAAGTGCCCGGCGGGCAGGGAGAGTGGGCCCAGGGCTCACGGGCAGGATGTTTCTGACTCACACTTCCTGAAGAGAGAAAGCTAAGCTTTTTCCCTAATGCCTCTGCATCCCCTTCCAGAAAAATGTCACAGCCCTTCCGGCCCGAGAAATAGCTATCTCCCCAGGTCCCGTGATGCTTTCCCACGTGGGTCCTCCTGGGCCCGGCTCTGGTCTCCAGGGCCCAGGGATGGGGTGGGGGAGAGGCGGCCTACCACTGTGACCAGCTCCCTTCTCCCCCAGGCTCCTCCCCAGTGCAGGTGGTCACCTGCTTAACACGGGACAGCTACCTGACACACTGCTTCCTCCAGCACCTCATGGCTGTGCTCTCCTCACTAGAGCGCACACCCTCACCTGAGCCTGTCGACAAGGACTTCTACTCTGAGTTTGGGAACAAGACCACAGGTACCCCCCACCTGGCTCAGGCTGCAGACAGACCACCTGGGCTGTTGTAGTGGGCCCCCCTCCTTCCCGATCCCAGGGGCCACAGCAGGCCCCAGAACCCCTTCTGCATTTCTTATTGTTTCTCTTTCCTGCTTAACCAGCTTGGGTTTTGCGTGTGCTTTTCCATGGCAGAGCCTTTAATCCCAGCAAACCCTCAGCCACCCAGCAGATGCACCTCAAGTGTCTGCTCTGAGCTGCTGTCACATGGGTCTCTGCCCGAGCACAGGGTCCTGGAGTGCTCTCCTGCCTTGGCCAGCCCCTTAGCCTGCCATCGCGGGTGGCTCAGGGTCACTGATTCTCTGGGCCCCAGTGCCGGCCAGGCTGGGCTGGGCTACAACCCTGGTGGGCGTCCCTCTCTGCAGGGAAGCTGGAAAACTATGAGCTGATCCACTCGAGCCGCGTTAAGTTCACCTACCCCAGTGAGGAGGAGATCGGGGACCTGACATTCACTGTGGCCCAGAAGATGGCTGACCCAGAGAAGGCGCCGTCCCTCAGCATCCTGCTGTATGTGCAGGCCTTCCAGGTGGGCACCCCGCCCCCGGGGCGCTGCAGGGGCATGCTGCGCCCCAAGACACTCCTACTCACCAGCGCTGACATCTTCCTCCTGGATGAGGACTTTGTCCACTACCCGCTGCCCGACTTTGCCAAAGAGCCACCGCAGAGAGACCGGTACCGGCTGGACGACGGCCGCCGCGTCCGTGACCTGGACCGCGTGCTCATGGGCTACCAGACCTACCCACAGGCCCTTACCCTCGTCTTTGACGATGTGCAGGGCCATGACCTCATGGGCAGCGTCACCCTGGACCACTTTGGGGAGGTGCCAGGCGGCCCTGCCAGAGCCGGCCAGGGCCGTGAGGTCCAGTGGCAGGTGTTTATTCCCAGTGCCGAGAGCCGTGAGAAGCTCATCTCGCTGTTGGCTCGCCAGTGGGAGGCCCTGTGCGGCCGCGAGCTGCCTGTCGAGCTCACTGGCTAGCCCAGACCGCAGTGGGCCCTTGCCACCCGCAGTGTCTGGCCCTGTGTCCTCTCGGGACAGGAAGCAGGCTTTCTCTGTTCTTTTTAAAGTGATTCTCCCCCCTCTTTGGCTACCTTCATTGGACCGTCCTTGTGGAGAATGTGAACATATGTGTTCAGTGACTTCTTTCCAGTACTGGGAGTGAAAGTGCCAGCCACCTCCAGGACTTCTGTGGCCATCAGCCTCCCACGGGTCGGTTGCCTGCCCCTGGTGCCGTGTGGCCAGCACACCAGTGTCGTGTCTTCTGTTGTGGGACTGTTATTAACACGTGGCACTGTGGGTCTGATTTACTCTTCTGTGTGTCCTTCCCTGAAGTGTCTTGTCCAGTCATGTGCTGTCATTGTGGGCGTTCGCTGCTAATCGTGAAACTGGTAGCAAAATGCACATCAGAAGCTCCGCCTCGTGCAGTTTTCCAAAGTGGAGACCTCTCCTGGCCCAGCCAAGTGGGAGAGCCCCTTGGGGGCAGGAGTCCCCAGGTCTTGGGGCTGAAAGGGGTGGTGGCAGGGGACCTAGAGCTGCCAGCACCGAGTGTGATTCCTGTTGCCTGTTTCCTCTATTCCAATAAAGCAGAGTTTGACACAGTCTGGGTCTTTTAGTTCAAGGATTATTGGGTCTCAGCAGGGCACCAGCCCAGGGCAAGGTTGGGGTGAGGGAGAGAGTACCCTGGGGAAGTGGGAAGGTGCACTCCTGGGGGCAAGGTGGGGAAAGAAAGGAGGGAGGAGGGCACGGAGGGCAGAGGAGTGGCTCTGCCAGGTGGTGCTGGTGGGGTGGCACTGGAGTGCTGGCACAGGGGAGGTGTGAGGGGACCCTTTGACAGGGCCGTGCTGGGCTGGGACTCAACCCCAAGCCTCAGGGCACGTGCAGCACACTGGCTCACTGGCTTTCTGCCTCTTGCATTTCTGGAATGTCACACCCTGGCCCAGCCCCAGCTGAAGCTGCAGGCTGTTCTGAGTGGGGTTGTGTAGGGTGGGGTCTTGGGGCATCTCACCAAGAGGACTCACTGTGGGGGGGGTGTCCCTGGGTGGTGGATAGCGTGTTTGTGTTCTCAGAGACATGAGGGCTGCCTCAGGGAACCCTGCCAAACTAGGACCTGGGATTTCTTTGGGAGCCAGCCCTGTGTTCCACCCTTCCTCATTTCATTTTGACCCCCAGAGCGTGGGGGGGGGGAGCCCGAAGCCCACTTGTCTCTGCCATCCTGGCCCAATCAGGAGGGTCAGGTCCCCAAGGCCCTGGGGCTGTTTGGGCCAGGCAGCACTGCAGAAGAGGTGACTGGAGGGTGGCCAGCCCCGCTCCCAGCCCACTGCTCCCATTCTCCCTCGGTGCCAGCAGTGGGGCCTGGAGACCCATCACCCTCAGGAAGGCCGCCAAGGGGACAGGGAGCCACCGAGCGGAGGTGAGAGTGGGTGAGAGACCAGCTTTCAGAGACCAGCTCAACGGCCCCTCGAGCCAGCGGGGCGAGAAAGGCTGCTGAGGAAGAGGAAGAGGGGCAACAAGCTCCGCCCTACCAGGCTTCTATGGAAGACCTTTACCAATGGCCGCCTGCTGCTCTCCATCTGTTGTGTGTCTGCGGGGATGGTGGTGACCGGAGGCAGGGTCCACTACCCGGCCCCGTGGGCCAACAAGGCAGCTGCCCCCTGCCCGGGTCCCTGAGGACGGGACCGCTGTGTGCACGCGGGGCCTCCACAGGCAGCAGCCCTCACCTATTGAGGAGGGAGCTATGCACCGACTAGCGAGAGGCCCTAGGCAAGTTCCTGAGTGCCCGTGAGCCTCGTCTGCCACTGGTGACTGAGAGGTAAAGGAAACCCGCCTCCCTTCGTGCACCCCGCAAACCCGCCCGGAGCACCTGCTGGGTGCAGCAGCCCGACGCCACCCCTGCCCTCCCATAGCTGACGTTCCAGCAGGGAACAGAGTGAACAAAATAAACAGCATCAGCTGGTAGCTGGTGCTGGGAGGTGATAACAGCTGGTGACCCCTGACCTGAGGCTGACCCCAGGGTAAGTCCCTGTGAGAGGGTTTGGGGGCAAAGCAACAGGTCAGGGGAGTGGAGAGGCGCGGCCAGAGCAGGGGAGGTCAGGCTAGTCTGGCACGGAGCGGTGTGGGGTGCGGTGGGAAGCCAGCAAGGCCCTCGCGGAGAGAAGGGGCTACAGGGGTCGGGTGAGCCAAGGTTCATCTGATGTCCTGTTGACGCCCACGGCTGCTCTCGGCAATGGAAAGGTCTGGAGGCAGGCAGACCTGATTGGGGGCTGCCCTCCCCCACCTGCCAGGGTCCCCCACCCCCACAGCCTCCGAATGATACAGGCCGGGCTCGCAGGCAAGGGCTGGGCAGTGGTTTGAACTGGAGTTTGCCCCCCACCCCCTGCGAGGCCCCAGGCTTGCGGCTGATGGTGGGCCTGGGGGCAGCGATGCCCGGAGGAGGGCCTCGGGCCAGGAAGCCCCGAGCAGGGCCCAGCCGACCACGCAGGGGTCAGCGGCCAGCACCTTCCCTTCCGCCTGCAGCCTGCTGATAGCAGGAGGAAATCCTGGCGGGTTCCTGTGGGGGTGCGCTGGCGGGGCCTCCGGACTGCTTTTAAAGCGACTGCCCGCCCCGGCCCGCCCGCGCGCCCTGTGCCTGCCTTCTAGAGCTCATTCCCCACACTGGCTGCCCTGACTGTCCTGGACGGCGCGCCTGCCAGCCGCCACCAGCCATGGCAGGGCCCCGGGGCCTCCTTCTGCTCTGCCTCCTGGCTTTCTGCCTCGCAGGCTCCCACTTCACCAGGGGGCAGAAGGTGAGTGTGAGCCAGTTGCAGGGGGACGCGGTATCCAGGCCCTGCTGGCCACTGGTGGGAGCAGGGAGGGAGTGGACACAGATCGGGCACAGGTCTGGGGGCACAGAGGGCAGCCGCTCCTTGTCTGTCCTCCGAGCAGGACCAGAGGGCTGGGCTGTGGTGCCCACGTCCGCAGGCTGAGGTGCGTGTCTAGCTGCCTGGGCCGGCAGGGGTGTGTTGGCTTGCCCTCCTCCCACCGTGCTCAGCCTGCCAGCCATGGAGTGTGCGCCGGCATCCCAGGGCTCCCCAGCCTGAGGTCGAGGGGGACAGAGGCAGGCCCATCCTCCCGCTCTCCCTGCCCAGACTGAGGCCCGGTCTCTCTGTGACCCTGACCTGCGGACTGGAGATAGGATCACCCCCCAACCCTGGAGGGGCTAGCAAACCAACAGACTCACGTGGAACACACATGTGTGTGTGCCTGTGTCCGGCCCCAGGGGTGGAATGAAGTCTACTCCCCCCCAGTCTCTGGGTAAACAGCAGCTAACAATAACACCCTCAAACCCGAGAGCTGCACACCCTGGGCACACGGAGGCATTTTCCCCTGGAATCTTCACGACCCCTGGGCAGTGGGTCCTGTTCTCCACCTGAGGAAGCTAAAGCCCAAGGATGATGGAGACAAAATAGTCCAACACTGGAGCCGGGCTCCCGACCACTGCCTGTGATTCCCCAGAAAAAGGGTCCCATTGTGTGGCTGTCAGACCCATGTGTGCCAGCCACCTCCCAGCTGCCGATCTGCAGGCCTAAGCAGGCCCCGGAGTGGGGACACCATCCCCACTGGAGCTTCTGGAAGAGCCTCCCCGCTCCCCCTCGAGTATGGAGAGAGTTGCCTGGCCAGAGCCTGCCTGTGGCTGAGTGTCCCTGCCCTGTGAGGCCAAGTTCACCTGACACTTGGGGCAGCTGCTACTGCCCACCTATCACTAGTAGATGGGCTGAAGTACAGAGAGGAAGCTCCTGCTGGGACCCCACTGCCCGGCAGTGCCAGGTCTAGGTTGGGGATGGGCAGGTGGGAAGCTGCGAGGGTGACCGTGGTGGTCGAAGGGCCCAGGGTTCTAGGCTGTGCTAGGCTTTGCAAGTGGATTCTTACTCCATCCCTGTAAGAGCAATGGAAGGAATTTCAAAGGTCCGCCACCTTTTCCTCGTCAGAGACCTGTGCTCTGACCGCCTCTCAGCCCATATTCTAGGGCTGAGGCTCTGCCAGCTGGGGCCAGGCAGATGGCCCAGGGGTGCCCGTGGACAGGGACGAGGCAGTGCCAGCCTTCTCTTGCAACTTCACTCAGCCACCCAAACCCTCCCAGCACCCCCCTGTAGCATAAGGACCTCTCTAAATGCTAGGAAACTGAGGCTCCAAGGGGTCGGGATGACCTCAGGGTCACACAGCTAGGGAGCAGCAGAAGCAGGGTGCAAACACAGGCAGGTTCAGGCAGTAAGTTAAGGAAGGCTTCCTGGAGGAGGAGGGTGGGGGACAACCCCTGTCCATTCAAAAGACTTTTACTGGGTGCCTCCTCTGTGCAGGTGCCGGTGGAGCCTGTGGTCTCAAGCTGGGCTGTGGAGGGAGAAGGCAGTGACCCAGGCAGGGGAAGCAGATAGGGGAGGGGGAGCCCATCCCTCTGAGGGAGTCTGGGTTCTGGGTGCCAGCTTGGGGGGATTTATCCCACCTCCTCACAACAGGCTCAATCCCTCATGTCTCAAACTTCCCCAGCAGCGCCTGTGTCTCTGTGGGAAGCAGACGCTGCAAAATCAATTCTGGATTGGGGCAGCCCCGAGATGCCCCTAGGAAGAAGGGAATCTGATTCAGCACTGGGCTGTGACCCAGAGGGACCAGCGGCGAGACTGCGGGGGAGGCTGGGATGCCCAGGAGGCCGGTGCTCCTTCTAGAGGGGCCCAGGGTCCACCCCCAGTGTGCTCCCCCGTGAGAAGTCAGATTTGGCTGCTGGCTTATCCACCCTTCACCATGTCACACACATTTCCCAATGTGAGAGTCTCAGAAGTGAGCGCGTCCCTGTCGGGACAGGAGGCTCCTGCCCCCTCCTGGGCTCACCTTCCCACTCTCTCTCTCTCCCTCCATCCGTCCCTCTCTCTCCTACTCCCTTAGCCAGGCCTGGCCGTTCCTCTGAAAGCCGGTCCCCGAGCCGGCAGTGGCCACCCTGGCTGCCGGGCCTGCCTGGCCAGGTGGCCTCAGGGGTGCCATTGCCCTGAGCCAGCAGCTGCCCAGCCCTGAAGTTACCCAACTTCCTAGACATTCCCTGGCTCAGCAGAGACGGAGCCCCGGGGTGGGGAACGAGACCACAGCACTCAGCCGCACGGCTGGGCCTGAGGCGCTCTCGGCAACTTCCCTCTTTGCAGACCGCAGAGGCAGGAGCAGGAAGGGCCAAATCTCAGCAGCAGAGCCAGGCCCCCGGGCCTCGTGCTCACCAGAACGTGCCAGGCCACCTTCTCCTTTCCTCTTGCTCCGAGAGGCCTCGAGTCTGATGTGTTCTAGGAAAGCCATGTCCTGGCCGCACGCCCTTTGAACCGCAGTGTGTTTAGCATTTTTCAGATGAGAACATCTTAGCTTCTCTAGCCCATGCCCCAGGCCCCCGCAACCTCTTCTCCATCCGCACGCACCCCCTCCGGCCCCTTCTCCCACTTACGACCGAGACTCGACTCGGGCTTCCCTTCCTCCAGGGCACAGGGCTGCCGTCCTTGGGAACGTTCCTTGTTGCCATGAAGGCAGCTCCAGGGACAGTGGACTTGCAGGGGCTGTGGCAGGCCAGGCACTGGGACCACAGGCCTGGGGTT